GGTTCTGTTTGTCCTCTTGGCCCGCTGCTGTCTGTAGGATGAAGAGCTGCTCCAGATGGAGGTTGAGAGGCTGCTGCTGTCTGGTGTCCTGATGGAGATCACCCACTCGCAAAAGTCCTTTCAGCTACAACCAAGCAAGTATGTTCAACACACACACACACACACACACACACACACACACACACACACACACACACACACACACACACACACACACACACACACACACACACACACACACAGTGATTTATAAAACTATTCTGGAAACAACTTTGTTTTGTTTGTTGTTTGATTTTCTCCAGGTTTAAACTCCCAGAGTATGTTCTGGATTTTGGTTTTGCCATTCCAGGCAAAGCTGTCAATCAGTCAGTGAATATCATCAATACAGGATCAGTGCCTGTGTCCTTCTACATGAACGGCAAACTTCTCATAGGAACAGGTAACCAACTGCACATTATTTAATTATAGGATTTTATAACTCACACACTTACAAAACCGTACATGAAGAGTGGTAAAACAGACATATCCATGCATACTTTGCAAACAAGAGGAGCTGCATTGTTACCCTAAAATATCTGAAAAGTGCCTGTTTTTTCTAGAGAAGTCTGGTAGGAGAACTAAATAAAAATAGGCTTGGTAAAAGCTTAAAGTAGTTCCACCAGCAGATGATGGAACCTGAACCTCCCAGAGGGTTAATAAAGTTGATCTAAATCTGATCTAAACTCTGTGTGAAGAGAAACCCTAGCACAACAAATAACCACAGTAAGTAATTCTACTGGCAAATCATTTAATAACACAGTTACGTGTTGAGCAAATAAAGTCGTGATGGACATTCTTTGGGAATGCTGCTGTCTGAAGACATATATGGCAAGATTATGTAGTTCCCAGTTTAAAGATGAAAGTCAAATTGCAAAGGGAAAGAGTAGATTTGCCATGTTCTTTAGCTATGATGGATATCCTGAAAGGGATTGACACTAAACATTATACTTGTTGTTTTTGATTCAGTCACTTTGAGTTCAGCCTGCTAATTGGTCAATTACTATTTGATATAGTGCCTTCTAGGGTTTTACAACCCCCAAGGTGCTATACAAAAAAATCAACTGTAATAGTAACTGATCAGATGGACTTCAATAAGATGTAAGAATGTAAAAATCCATGAGAGCTGACTAGCTCTGGTGCCCATCTTTGATTGGGTTTTCAACTAAAATGTATCAGTTGTAGATGATTAGTTTGTAAAAATGTCACTTAAATCTGTCCAGTTTAGATGGTTTGCTAACACACACACACACACTCACACACACACACTCACACACACACACACACACACACACACACACACACACACACACACACACACACACACACAACCAACCTTTTTTTTTGTTTACACAGTAAAATGACAATGAGTATGTGTCTTTGGAAGGTTTTACAGCAGCATCTGAGCGCGTCAAGAACCTGCCTTGTGGCCAAACCCACTCGTTCTTACTTACATTTGATCCAGAAAGAGCCAACCTGGAGATGGGTGAGACCAGTGTTGTTCTACCAGTACAGGTAATCACAAACCAGTAGATAAATATCTTACAAAACATATCATGGTTGAAAGTTTCAAACATTTTTTTCTTTTGATTATGCCTCTCATTACCAACTTTATGAATTTTCTTTGGTTTTAAAGGTCTCCGGTGGTCCTCAGGTGATGGTGAGGCTGCGTGCATTTGTCATCGTACCGAGAATAACCGTCTTTGAGGACACACTACAGTTTGACTCTGTTCAGCGTGGGATGTGCCAGGTATAATTTAACCTACAGCTTGTGATCTGAAAGTGAAAACTTTAAAAAATGAAACAGATAGTAGATATGTTGACGGATCCACGCAAAGTGATGTGTTCACAGCAGATTTTAGCACACTTTATGCCTTTAGCAGAAGAGCAGGAGAGAGTGCATGACAGTAATGAGTGAGCTGCATGCTGTCTCTATATTTAAAATCAGTCCTTATGGACCAACCTGAGAGCCGAAGATTAAAGAGTCTGGGTCAAGTTTTACTTTAAACTCATCCTAAACGACAGAAGGACATAACACACTCACATTATGTCACATTTATGTGTTTTCTAACTTTTCAGATGAGGACGCTCCAGCTGCTCAACCTGGAGCCTATTCCGTGTTGCTGGAGCATCACCGAGGAGGCCAAACCTTTCAAAAAGGTGGGATCGTGTTAATTTTCTTGTTGAAGTTTTTATTTAACAGACAAAGATCAAAGTCGTCAAGTTAAAACTTAAGATCATGTTTGTGGGCCACAATTTATTATTTATTTAATTCAAAAAAGGCAAAAACTTGTTTGTAGGGAATATTTTCATTTGTGCTGCTCAATATAACTTATAACTTAAGATGTTTAAAAGTGTAGATCTGGAGAGAGACACATTTCCAGCATTCTAAAATTCAAGGCGGGGGCCACACAAAATCCCTCATATGGCCTCGGACCAGGCTTTGGATGTGCGTGTGAAAATGGCAGCGATGCATTTGAATGAGATGTTTGTCTGCTTTCCACCTGTACAGGTAGATAGGTTTGTGCCTCTGCATGTGCGTAAGAAGATCCTCCAGGAGCAGCGCCCCCCACTCACAGTACTTGAGATGTCGCCCTGTGATGGTGTTTTGTCTCCTGGTGGAAAAGTCCTCGTTTATGTCACGTTTTGCCCTGCTGAAGGGGTAGAAGCTCTAATATTATTAGAACAAGTTTTTGTATGTGTGTAGCGCATGTTTAGAGGTTCATGTCTTCCTAAAATAAAAACCCAATAACAAACATGAGTTAAACAACTGCAACAAACCTAAGACCAAGATGTCCTCCAGGGTTCCTACAGGCGGAGGCTAAAGGTCCATGTGAAAGACAGCAGTCAACAACTGATGATTACAGCTGTGGGTCAGTGTGAAGAACCACAGCTGGATCTCTGCCAAGCAGTGCTGGAGTTGGGGCCTTGTCTGCCTTTCTACACCGAGGCTGAGTCAGAGATCATGATAAGGAACCCCTGCTCCTTCCCCATCGAGTTTTACTCCCTGGAGTTTGACTCAGAGTACCTCAAAGAAGAAAAGGTAGGCCCCTTGTTTATTACATTTTTTTGCTGAATCTATAAAACGTGCCAAAAATAGCACAACTTGTGATGGTGAGTGACAGAGAGCTGCTGGATGAAAGGCTGTCCTTATTGTGACAGAACAGCTGATTCTCATAGTTTCCAAACATCTTTCCAGACCTTTTTAGACTTTATCCTCCTCAGAGTTTTTAACTGTGTACCGTCACATGGAGGTCTTAGAAGGTCTGCCGGCTTGGTTCATAGAGGGACTGATGATTACCTTTTGGATTAACTAAAACTAAGAAATATTTAAAAGATTGAACAGGAATGACAGAAGTATCACCAATAAGCATTAAAGTAAACATAACCTGACAACATGGCAGGTTTCTACTAACTTTGAAGGCCTTCTCTTTTCTCCCCTCAGATCCTGCGTTTGATGCCGGGATATGATGAGAACAATGTGTTGCTGCTTCCTCCAAGGGTTCCTGGAGAGGGTCTTCCTACAGAGCTGCTGGACCACTACAAGGACCTCTCCTCCCAGCTGGAAGACGACGGTAGCCTCAGACAAGCAACAGCTGTCAGATCATCGATGCACAGCTGTTGTAACATCTGTTGTTTTTTGTGTGCACCAGGGCCTAACGTCGTAGACGACCAGACGAAGAACGATGACATAAGAAAGGAAAATGTAAAGTCAAAACAAAACAATACAAGGATGAGTGCCTCTGATGTGAAACCAGCTAAAACTAGTACGCATATAACTGGGGAGTCGGGGGGATCTTATTTTTATTTTGGATCATTGTATTTATTTAAATCTGCTTTGTTCATTTAGTTATTTCAGAGTTGAACAGAGAGGCAAACAGAGGGAGGCTGGGAGAGTTGGAGATGACTCCGGTATCCAGAGCTCTTGCCCGTCATATGGGATTTGACCTTTCCCCTGAGGGATTGATGGCATGCAGCCGCAGTGGCATCGCTATTATTGTGTATGGAGCTCCACTGACTGGTAAGAAAAAATATTTTTTTGAGTTTTCATGAAGTTAAACCAAAATAAAATTAGGAAAAAGTAATGTGTGCTTGTAAAAGTGGTGGTTATTTTAAATAATTCACCTTTTGTTTTAGATTCTAGCAGTGTGGCAGCTGATCTGGCAGGTTACTATGAAGCTGCGTGTTTGAGTGTTGATGCTGTGGTCACGGATGTAATCCAAAATGGCACTTCACCTGTCAGCCTTTCCGCGAGACAACTCTATCACACTGCTGCAGAATGCGCTCAGCTCAAAGCAGGTACACTACAAAAACAAAAATATTCTGCTAGGACAGGCTCCACCGCCAATCTCCTCCTCTGACGGTTCCACAAAACCAGAGTCCACACGGCCTCCTGAAGATTTGTATCCACATTTAGGAGCTTCACCGGCTCCTGTGGACATTCAAGCAGAGCAGAGAGAGAGCAGCTGCAGACCAAGAAGGTCCATCCATCAGGACACAGATGACAAACGTTTCTATGAGGTACTCAGAGCTTCCATCCACCCTTGTTTTAATTCACATAAAACAGTTAATTCATGACCAATGACCTCTGTTAGTTCATTAATATGATGTTGAATAAATGTTGGTGTTTTTAGTGTCACGGTGAAGTTCAACTCAGCAGTCTCCTGCCTGGACATCTGCTTGTTGATATACTGATGGAAAGATTTCAGGTACAGATTTCAGGATTTTTCACTCTGAATGGTTTAGGTCAAACTGTAATTAGAAAGGCACAACCAAGCAGGCGATTAAGGGCTAAGCCCATAAGAGTCCACCTCATGACTCAACAAGCTCCTAAAACATCAGGATGCAGAAATAACGTTTTATCAGTCTCTCACTTCATCGGTTCATGAGGTTTACTGACATTTCCATCAGGTCCAGGTCTGGTTCTTCTCTGTCAGCTGTTCTCTTTTAGATCTGCTGCTGTGTTTGGCATCAATGTTCAAACCAATGTATAAAACCTCAAACGTAAAGCTTGAAATACTCCCTGTTTATATTTGTTTTAACCTAACTTCTTTTGACCAAATGTTAAGTTTAGCTTTTCTTGTTGTCTCTTTCTATTCTCTTGTGTTACTGCCATGTTTCTACCAGTTGAATGACTGTGACCAGGGTGTAGTTGTTGATGGCTTGAAGTCACAATATACTGAGACGTCATCAAACACACTTCAAGTTGTCTTGAAGGCCCTGAAGAACCGCAAATACATCTATGTTGTAAATGTAAACGACACCTATGCTGCTCGGAAGGCACGAGAAAAAGAGCAGAAAGAAGCTGAAGGTAAGACATGCATCGTTTCTCTGGCAAACGCACAGATTTTTATATCAGTGTTACATTTGTTGGTGAACTGGGTAACTGTGTTGTGCAGATGCCCTGCAGCATGAGAGACCTGGCGGAGAGGAGCAGCAGGTGTGGGAGCTGAAAGAGGATGAGAGGGAGCACGGGACCCAGCGGAAACTCAGGTTCAAACAAAAACCAAAACTCTCCGTTAACATGTTTCTTTTCAGATTCTTCAAACAATCTAATTTCTACATGTTTATCATACATTTAAAAATCATCAGTATGTTAATAAAAAGAACAAACACTCAGGAGACATCACCTTTTTATTTAGCACATTGAACAGCTAATTATTAAGCTTTCATTGAGCTAAATTGAAACTGTCAGAAACAATTTCTAGTGTGAGTATTTAGTATTTGGGTCAAACATATTGACTCTTCTGATTTTAATTATGTTTATGGACCCACTTTTTTATGGTTGCATATAAGAGAGCTTGAGGCAAAACCTCAGGAAGAAAGGAGGCAGCAAGATGGAAAGAGTCGGCAAAATGAAGAGTTGAAGAAAAAAGTGAGTTTGGGAGGAATGAGAAACATTAAGTTATGCATATTCAGTAACCAATATTCCCTTAAGGAGAGGAACGAGGTACAACACATATAGTATGGGACATAAATGCATGCCCCGCAGAGCAGTCATCAGAAAATCAGGCCCAAAAGGCTTGATTTGCTTTAGTGTGAGCCTTGTGATCCAGCAGACAAAACAGAGCGAGCCAGCGACAGTGCAGTCACATCCAAATGGTAAAACCGCGTAAAAGTGTGCAGAGAAGACCAACTGGCCGCAGCGCAGATGTCGCCCACCGGGACTCCTCTGAAAAGGGCTCAGGATGCAGCTACACCTCTGGTCGAATGAGCTCTCACTCCCTGGGGTAAATGGAGACTCTTGCTGATATAAGCAAGATAAATAACCCCCACCACCCAATGGGAGAGTCTTTGTCTGAACAGAGCTTTACCCTTGGCTGGATTGGCACACACAAACAGCTGATCACATAACTGCATACTGAGTATGGTTAATGTAGATACCAAATGCACGCATTGGGCACACAAAATGAAGCCTACTTTGTTCCTCTGAAGCGAAAGGAGGCAGATGAAGACTAGCCAGCTCAATGATCATGGAGCCGTAACTAGATAGAAGCACTTTTGGGAGATAAGAAGCATTAGGTTGTAATGTGACCTTGGAGCCATCAGCAGAGAATTGCACACATAGCGGGTGCACTGAAAGTGCTTGCAGGTCGCCGACACGTTTGGCAGACGCCAGTGCAAGAAGCAGAGCCGTTTTGTATGATAAGATTTTTATGTCAACTGACTCAAGTGGTTCAAACGATGCGTCACACAGAGCATCCAGCACAACTGTTAGCTCCCAGACAGGAACGCTCGGTTTAATTCCTGGTCTCAGTCTGCGGACCCCTTTCAGGAAACAAACCGCTAAGAGGTGTTTACCTGGTGCCACTCCATCGTTGCTAATATGGTAACCAGAAATGGCAGCCAAGTAAACCTTGATTGTGGAGAAAGATAGACTCCCTCCACCAGTCCCTGTAAGAACGTTAATACGTCTACGATGGGGCACTGGAATGGAGCAACATTCCTGTTCTGACACCACTTCTCAAAAACTCACCATTTTAAAGTATATAAGCTTCTAGTAGATGGTGCCCTAGCGCACTGCATGGTCTCAACCACAGCCAGAGGTAGACCCCTGGCTAATAAGCTGGACCTCTCAGCAGGTAGACATGCAACATCCACAGCTCTGGGCGTGGATGAAGGATATCTCTCTGCGACAGGAGATCGGGACGGTGAGGGAGCTCCCAGGGTCCTCCACCATCAAGCTGATTATCTCTGCATACCATGACTTTGCAGGCCAGTGAGGGGCCACCTTTAACATTGTCTTCTAGCCCAGGCCTAGAGAATATTTCTGTAGTATTAATATTATTTATTAATTTTTCATATTCACATAAATAGTATTTAAAGTTCCACTCAGCTCCAGTTGGTGGCAATAATGCAAGAAGTGACTTGCCAACCACCACAAAACTAGAAGATGACAGGAGAAAAATGGTGACTGTGCAATGTGAAACTCCAAAATTCACTAGAAAGTAAATAAATAAATAAATGATTTGTGTAAATAAATAAGCCTAGCCATTGGTGCCACCCATGCATAAATAAGATCCCCACATGGGCCACCCCATTTTAAAAGTCCTGGACACGGCTCTGCATAGCAACCGTCTTCTCTACCCATGGGGATGGGGTGCATGCATGCCAGTGAGAGAGACGCTCCGTGAGATGGCGGACCTGTTGTGTCACGGGCAGGTAGGTGCTGCCCTCTACCGGAGCGGGGAGGGACAGCTCTGTGAACTGACATGCCCTTAAGCATGCAGTTAATGGTTGATTTAGAGTTTTTTTTCCTTTATTAACACATTCTTTATTGAATAAACAATCGTGTGTTTTGGGAAAAAATGCTTGGGGACTGTGTGTGGGGAAAGCAGCACCGTTTGGGGCTGGGGCCTCTGAACACATGCACTGCATGGTCTGAAAACAGGCTGGACCGCGGAGCGAACATGTCTCCCTGCTCCGGAGGCCCAAATGGAGACGGTAGCTCGTTGCTAGGATGAGTGCGTCTTCTTCCGCCGAGACGAAGAGTCTTGCTTGAAGTTAGAGGGTGGGCCTTTGCTCCAGGCCGACTGGCGAGGAGCTTGCGACTTGGTTTGTGGCTGCTGAGGCACATTCCCTGTGGCTGCAGGCGCATTCATCCTCTTTGTTGGTGGTTCGGTGGTTGTTGGTTTGCATGAGCTCGGACCGGGCCTCCCTCTTGCATCCCATCTGGAAATGATGCAGCGGAACGCCTCGGTTTGTTTCTTTTAGAGCTTAAACTTTACTTTTATAGCGTCCAAGGACTGTCCAAAAAGTCCCTCAGAAGACACTGGCGACAGGTCATTCTGGGTCACCGGAGAGGCGGCGGCGGCAGCAAAAGTCGCACATTGAGCCGCAGAGAAATCATCATCTCCAGCTATACTCCGGTCATCCATGTGGATGTCCAAAACGTAGTCGTCCTCATCCTCTGTTGGACTCATGTCTGGAGGGACAAGGGAATCCTGAGTCTCGGCCCTTCCATGATGTCCATTTGGTCCACCCAGCTGGAAGCGGGGACTGTGACCAGGCAGCCATCCTCGTCGGACTCAGACGAAGCCGGGTCTCTTGACTCGAAGAGCATAGGATCCTGTTTGGAGGTGGCAGCCTCCCCCAGGACCTTGAGAACAAACTTGACCCTGAGTTCCAGCGTTGAGCGCTTAAGCTTACTGCAGAATGAGCATGCGTCCGGCTCCGTCAACGCTCTCCTGGCATGGACAATACCGAGACAAACAGGGCAAGCTTCATGTAAATCCTTGTCATGAAGTGTGAAGCCACATCCCTGCTGGCAGGGTCGTATAGTGGACTTCTGCTTCTTTCGGTCAGACCTGGTGCTCATTCCGAACCACGAGGTCCAACAGCGGAGGTGTTAGCTAGGTGTAACGTTTTAACGAGGTTTAGCGCTCTGCGAGTAGGCGCACTTACGTAGGCAGTGGTCTAGTTTGACACGAACAGTTAAGCTAGCTCCAAAAAAACACAGCAAAGAAAAGTGCTAACAAGCGGTAGCTAGCTAGCACAGGTTGAGTGGGAGGTGTTCCAGCGAGGTGAAGAGAGTAAGAACTGGAGCATGATGTGTGAGTAGGGGTATTCATAAGCAGATGGACCCTGCCCCCACGTCACACGTCATGTGGCCTAAAGGAGTGATTAAAGGTGTCTTCAGTCCGACCATGTGAGGGAGTGATATCCCATACTATATGCGTTGTACCGAGTGAGTCGACTAAAAAGGGAACTTCAAAGTGTGGTTTATATACAAATCCCTTCTTAGCACTGTATAAACTAAAGGACACAAATACACTGTTACTCCCAGATGGTGAGCAGAGAATGAGTTTGTGTCTGCCTCTCTAGAAAAATGGGCGACGAATGAACTCTACAGAGACGTCTGCAGGTGCAAAAGAACAGCTGAATCTAAATGAAAGTGCACGTAAGAGTGAACAAACACTAAAACTATAAACATTCTTCCAACATCTGCTTTACTACTAGTTTCTCTTTTTTTCCACAGAACATCAAAGCAAAAAAGAGCGTCCATTACAACTGCTGGAAGAAGAGAAATTATCAGGAAACGCTTTTTTAAAGCCCAGAGTCCAATCAGAGAAAAAGATGGTCAGTTTTAACACAATGAAGAGTGACACACTTATTATAACATTACTGGGGTTTTGGCCTGTTTGTACTGGTTACAGCCTGCTGTTTTACATCACTAGACTCTACCCCGGGATGCACTGGTACTGGTATCAGTATCGGTAAAGGTTAACCAATACCAATGCAGCTGCCTGAAAGTGGCTTTACTGTAACTTGTCATTTCTGTTCACCTAATATTTTAGTTTTGTGATAATTTCTACTAATATATTTTATTTTTATCTACCTCACAGTCTTTTCCTGTTGAGAGCAGAGAAGAAAATAAAACCTGTATTCCAATTAATTGCATTTTTTGTGTGGTAGAAGGATTGGTATCGGCGAGTACTCGGATCCAAGTATCGACATCATGTCGGTTTGGAAAAAAGCTGTATTGGTGCATCCCTATTTCTAACTGTTTGTCATGGTCTGTGTCTGCGTCTCCCTCATGTGTCTCCTTGTGTGCTCCATCCCCCTCTAAGGATCCCCTTATGTGTCTCTTTGTGTTCCTCATGTGTCCCCTGGTCTGCAGCCCTCCAGATTATCCCTCCCAGGTCCTGTGTTCCTTTGGTCTCCCCCAGTCACCCCTCTGCAGTTTTATATAGGTTCAGCTTTTCATTTTATTAGTCTCTTTAGAGTGTTTTCCCACCGGTTTTTGTAGTTTTCCTTCCCCTTAGAATATTAGTTATGTTTGTTGCTCCTCTTGTCTTTAGGTTTTTACTCTTAAGTCATGTTAGTTTCCTCCCTGATTAGTTAATTGCTTTCACTTGGTTTCTCTCCCCACACACCTGCAGCCTATCTGCCTCTCGTCATGCCCCAGTGTATATAACCCTGTCTGCGTCTCTGTCTGTTGTTGGGTCATTGTCTTGTGCCACCTTTGTCTCATTCCCCGCTCTAGATTTGAGCTTCGTTTTTGGATATTCTAGGTTTTGTTATTTGGGACTTTTGATTTTTGTTTTTGGCTCCATGCCTTTTTGGATTTATTCTTAATAAAGGATTTTACGTTATTGCTCCACTCAGTGTCATCTGGTTCTCTGCATCTTTGGGTCCTAACCTCCTCTTGGCTCCCCATTGTGACACTGTTATCTGTTTCTACAACAAGTCAGCCTAATACACCAGTGCCAGCTAATTTATTTAAGTGAAATGTTTCAAACAATCCTCAAATCAATGGGTAACCAGTGCAGAGGCCAAAACCAGAGGAGCCCTAGCCCACTAAAAACCGGGCTAGGGTAACCTGGCCAACAGAACACATGTATGGTTTTATCTGCGGATCAAATCTTTCAAGCCAGATTCATAACATTTATTATGTGTGATGATTTATAAGTCCATAGGTAACTAATGATAAAATCTGCTTGATGTATCACTCACTAATCTTTTTAATCCAGAACATTATGGATGAACTACAGAGTCAGTTCATTGAATACGAGGAGAGTCAGGTCATGGTGATGCACTTCCTGCAGCACTGGGACCGGATCCAGGGTTTGTTGTTAGCTCCTCTACCTGGAGCAGAAATCCCTCCAGATTCAAATGTTGCTACAGCAGAGCATCAGGTAAGTGTCAGATTATTGCCCACCTCTCAAAAGCTGGTGACAGTGTTTTGTTTTTTACCCGTGTGTTCATTTTTGTGTAGCATAAAGCTGACAACAAGCCAGGAGACACAGGCTCTTCTCTACAGAACATCCCTCTTATTGTCATGAATGTAACAGAGACAGGCGGTAATTTCACAGAGCTGCTCAGTAACGGCACCCTTCCTTTATTAGACGAGGTACCACGTGGTCAAAGATTACCACCATTTGGACTGGTTTTGTTCTTTGTTCTTACTGGTTGGAAAAAAATTTCTCATCTGCAACGTATTCTGTTTTGTCTTCCACAGATTCTGGACCATTTAGGGTTGGGGCCCAGCAGCCCACCAATCCCTCCTCCCGCCACCTTCTCTGCTGTTGTTTTTCCCAAACAAAGAGACCGAACAATGGTTAAAGAAACATGTTTCATCTTTCTGGAGCCTTCAGGGCAGAAAACAGACGCTAAGGTCATCTATCTTTAAGTCTTAAACTAAGGAATCATTGTCAGACAGATACACAAACACTCCCCCTCCCATTTAATGGAAGACCACTCAGTGTTTAACGTCATGACCAGAGTATTACTACCCTGTGATCACACGGCTATTACAAGTGTTACATCATTATTAATAAATTGTTACACATTTTTGTTGAATGTTTCCAAATGTTCTACATTTTTTGATTTCTTTTAGCAAACAATGAAAGAAGCCTTATCCAAAAGTAATGAGGGAGCCATCAAGGAGAACGTGAAAGACAAAGAGAAAAAAGTCAAAGAGAATAAAATGAAAGCACAAAAGTCAAAGTCAAAAGGGTCTTGCATACTTTCACAAGTCTCCTTTCCCGTTGAGCTCACTGATCATGATCACCATCAGCAGCGCTTAGAGATGAAACGCAGCCAGAGGTACAGAAAAACTCACTGACACACTTTGGGAGTTTCTTTGGACACGATTGTTTACCTGTGCACGTATTTCTTTGTAGCCGGACCACGTTTCGCTGGATTGTGCCACCAAACGGCCAGGTGCCTCTGAAGGTCTGGTTCTACTCAGAGACAACAGGAGAGTATGAGCAAATCTTCAACTTCGAGATAGCAGGAACCAGGAAACCTTTCCAGCTGACCTGCAGAGGGCGCTGCACATATCCCTTCATCTGCAGCAAACACACGTCAGTCTGCCTCGTTTAATTAAGTCTGGTAGAATTCTGATCATGGGCGTAGTTTTTTTTTTTTGGGGGGGGGGGGGGGGACTTTTTTATTGTACAGGTCAGAATCTATTGATGACCTCACTTATTGGAGTTTGTTGCAGCTAAACCAAAACTCAGACTAAAGATTTTAAATACATTAGCACAAATGATTTAAGCAACAGTGATTTTAAGTAAAAGGGTCTTCAGCTGGTTTTAAAGGTGTCCAGACTGTCAATAGATCGTAAAAAATAAAGGAAGTTTATTCAAAAGCCCAGGTGTCTGTCTGGTATTTGGATCTTCTAGAAGGTTCTGGTGGGTGGACCTGAGGGCTTGGGTTGGAGCATAGGGCTCTAACAGTTCAGTAATATAAGGAAGAGCTTGACCGTAGAGCCCTGAAAGTTATAGTCAGAATTGTAAAATGAATTCTAAAGTTAAAGGTTAACCAGTGCAGAGATTACAAAGAATGGATAAGTTGATCTCTACATCCTTACAGATCCTGATGTGAAATTTTAATGTTTTTATCAAAGTCCACTAAACCAACAGGAGAAACTCACCTTGTTTGTTTCCACAGGACTCTTTTCACTCATTGTGAGAAGGTGCCACAGGGGAAAGATGAACTTCAGAGAGCCTACATTATCAAAGATGGATATTTTGAGTTTGGACCTTTGCTTTGTGCCAAGCCCAGAGACAGGTGAGAGGCAAAATAGTGGAAGTGAAATGTTAGAAGAGATATTAGTTATTGCCATTTTATTCACACACATTTTAATATTTGTATTTAGATATAAGGAGTGTGGCTTTCCAGAGAACTCGGTGAGGGTAGTTATCCATAACATATCCAGTCTGGATGCAGAGGTGATGTTTAGCTTCCAGCATGACCTCCAAGCTGCCACATATTTGCTGGACCCCCCGATGATGATTCTCCCTCCTGGCCAGAAACAGGTTTAATTTCTTAAATCTGATCTAGATTCATTTGATTTGATAAAATCTGCAACATTTTAACATGCAAATGTTCCTTTCAACTAGGAGTTGACCATATGGGCATATCCAACAAAAGAGGGACAAATAAAGGACTCTGTAGTCTGTCTCGTCAAGGATAATCCTGAACCTGTGATCATCAACGTCTCCTGCTGGGGAGTACATCCTAAGTTAGAGCTGGAGAGGAAAAGTCTAAACTTTGGAAAACTTTTACTGCACAGGTACAGAAACACACAAATCAGCCATGCTTTTAATATTTAGCTCAGAAAGTCTTCCAGAACTGCTCTGAGTAGAGGTTGGAACTCTTCACCCCAGTGTAAACCCAGATCTTGACCCTACTCAAATGATCTTTTTCACATTACTTAAATGTTTCTAAATTGTTTACATTACTTGTTAACACTGAGTTAGCGACACTGTTTCTTGTCCTTTCTTATTGTAATTATGTTTTTAGGTCCAATCAGTAAATGGTAAATGGCCTGTATTTGATATAGCGCCTTCTAGAGTCCTACAACCCCCCAAGGCGCTTTACAACACAATCAGTTATTCACACACATTCACACGCTGGTGAGAATGAGCTACAATGTAGCCACAGCTGCCCTGGGGCACACTGACAGAGGCGAGGCTGCCGACCACTGGCGCCACCGGTCCCTCCGACCACCACCAGCAGGCAAAGTGGGTTAAGTGTCTTGCCCAAGGACACAATGTCAGCAACAAACTGAGCGGGGCTCAAACTTGCAACCTTCTGATTACGGGGCGAGCACTTAACACTTGCCACTGTCGCCCCAATCAGTACTTTATACTTAAACTAAGTTAATCAATCAATCAACCAACATTGTTTATTTGGTTATTTTAAAGATAAGAAAAGGAAAAAACAAAAACCACAATAATACAAGGATTACAAGTAAAATAACCAAAAGGTGTAGGCTGAAGCCTAGCTTTTTATGCACACCCTATTTACAAAATCAATTTTATACTTAGAATGATAGAAAAAATGAATAACATTTTTTTATTTTATTGTAATAATCATGAACAACAACAAACATGCAATAAATAAATAAAAAATAAGATTAAATAAAAATAAAAAACACTAGTAATCTTAACATGAGTCAATGAATAATATTCATATAAACAGATGGTTTCTATGAATATAAATACTTTCAAGTTTTTATAAAACATAACATTTAGATTCACATCTCTGAAATACACTGGATCACATAGTCACAGCTTTAGACGTCATCTTTTTGATGTACATTTAAAAAAAGAGTTAACTGTATTTCGTGCCCTGATTTCAGTGTCTAAGTTATTCCAGTTTTGCTCCTTCTGAACAACTCTGACTCCTAGGCGTTTGTTCTAACTTTCTGTTTTACAAATTGTCCTTCCCCTCTAAACTAAGTTAAGAATACTTTAAGACGTGTCATTTTTTATTACCACTTATACATTTGAGTAAACTACTTTTTAATGGTCTGGTTTATTGTAACCATATGTTGTAACTATTAGTTTGCCTGGTTGCACCGCAACCACCAAAACCTGGTTCATACCGGTTTTGACCGAGTGCTCCTGAGGAGCGATCAGTGGTATTCTTTAAAAAGCAGCTGAAAACTCACTTGTTCAGGCTGGCTTTGGTCTGATCTCCTGCTGATTCTTCCTCACTATCTTCTTTTCATGCTACTGTTTCTACCAGTTCTGTCTTTCTCAGGATGCCATGGTTAGCTTTTCTTATTTATTTTTGTCTTCATTCACATTTTTTTTCTAAATTTCTCTTTCTACCTCATTTTTTATTACTATATATATGTTTTAGTCATTTTTAATTTTGTTCTTGTGAAGCGTGTCATGGTTTTTATCTTGAGAGGCTATTGTCTCTCTGTCGTAGCTTTCTCTTCACCACAACAAACCATTTCAGAGTCCACACCGATCAATCTTCTGCTCCCTCCTTCCTTCACATGTAATCCAGCAGCACCTCTCAAGATAAAAATCACGAGGTGAAGAACTCACCCCACTGTCATTCCTTCTGCTTGACTCGTGTATTTTCCTCCTCTACAGGAGGGACAGTCGTAGCACGGAGCTGTTTAATAAGACCTCCCTGCCTGTGTCTTGGAGACTGCAGGGGGTAGAAGAGTTTTGTGAGGAGTTGGTTGTTCCACAAGTTCAGGGGATCATTCCACCAAACTCCTCTTTCACTCTCAGTGTGGAGTTCACACCTAAAAGGCCTTTGGTCTTTGAAAAGGTCTTATATCTGGAGGTAAAATAAACATTTAAAGGTGTAGATAATAAACAACATGTTGTTTAAAATTATTATTATTATTATTATGTTTTTAAGTATTTGCGACTGGCACCCCAACCTTTGTGTTCATCCAGTACAGGTGTTGACCATCTTTGTGTTTCAGGTATCTGATGCTGAGAAGATTTTAGGAACAGTACAAAGCTTAACCATACGTGTCACTGCTGAAGCATGGGACCTAAAACTGGAAATCACACCAGGTACAAGCTGTAAAAAAAAAAAAAAATCTAATGTTCCACGTTAATGAAATGAATTCATACAGCTCTTCTCACACTCACACACACACACACACACACACACACACATACGCACACACACACACACACACACACATACGCACACACACACACGCACACACACATGCGCACATGTGCAATCTCACACACACACACACACACACACACACACACACACACACACACACACACACGTGGTGCGCGCACTCACACGCACAATTGCAAGTAATTCATGCATGCAATGTGACTTTGATCCATATTATATGAACCACTAGCACAAACCTACACACTGGAAATACAAATATTTAAATGTAATTAAAGAATTACTCTTTTAGATACGAGATTACAAATAAGGGGTCTTTCACCAGTATTGTTTATTTCTTGAACAGGAAAGTTGATTTATCGCCCTCCAAAGACAGACTAACTTCTTTAATGATTTCTATGATCTTGTGGCAGACTGCATCCTAAAATAAGACTATGTCCTATTTCTTGGGGATTTTAACATCCATATCTGCTGTCCTGACAATGTGCTTGCTAAAGGCTTTTTGGATTTGCTAGATTCAATCTAACTCAATGGGTATCATCCCCAACTCATGCCAGGGGTCATACCCTGGACCTGGTTCTCTCTTTTGGTCTCCCCGTCATGAACCTTGTGACTTTGCCTCCTGTGTTCTCTGACCACTCTCCAATACTCTGCACTGTTAGACTTTACCTATCCACTTTACGGTAATAAACTGGCAACACTGTTGCCAGCATGATACCGTGATGCATGGTTAACGGTAACTTACCAATTAGTGTTGATCCCAGAATTATACCGTATATTTTATTGCTGTAAAAAACCCTCTGACTGCATGGCGGTGAGATACTGGCAACGCTGTTGCCAGTATCTCACCGGCAACAGTGTTGCCAGTAAAATACCGTAATATATTTCACAAGAAAATTACATCAATAACGCAATATTATACCGTGATTAATAAATATGTGTTGTGCTGTATGTTTATGGTATGTTACCGTAAGCTCATTTCAAGGTATGCTGCAATACCTTTTCCAGTGATTTACCGTAAACATACACTTTTGCTACTGAAAATAGTCAACGCTGTCAGAGGGTATTGTGTTTTTGTGGGCAGTAATCTACCTTTTTCATGTCATATTTTACTAAGATACGAGTAAACGGTAACATACTGTAATACAATAAAGGCTCCCAAAATAAAAGGTTTATACTTGTGCGTGCACACACACACACACACACACACACACACACACACAGACACCTGCACACTTGTTTGTGTAATAGTTGGATATATTTAAGATCAAGATGTAAACAAAATGCACTGGATTATCTTTTTTTATTTGATTGCTTCCATTAAAACAGAAAAACATAATGGTATAGTGAGAAGAAATTGGCAACTGATGGTCATAATGTAAAAAAGAAATGAATCAGTGACCTGTGTGACCTACAGCTGATAAATAGTCAGATGTATACAAAATGTCTACAAACCTTTCTTAAATGCAAGTAGTAGTTTACGTATTTGAATTGGTGTAAGAAAATGTTTGCGATCATCTGCCTCTACTAACAGAAGGTCACTTTTTTGTTGGACACCAATGACATCTTTCAGGTGGTCTGCGATGGACAGTACTTTCTGTCTCTCCAATTCCGGCAGGATGCATGTGATTTCATCTTCAATTTCCATCACTGAAATATAAGGGGAAAAAATCATGAAGAAACTGAATGGTGCAGGGAGACAACAAAAAGATCTGCCATGTTATAAAGGGGTATTGGGTAATAATCCATCAGACTGTCAGCATTTACACACAAACTTCTGTCTGTAGGGCAGTGTAGGCAATAAAGTCCAAGGTCAATAAGGCGTACTGACTGATGCAATTCTAGCACAAAGTACAATTTAGAATCATTAACAAGTATCACAACTATCTACCCAAAGTCAGTGCTCTCACTAGTGTGATCTACTACAACAACATGACCTTTGACATATTTGGTACCTTTGTAGACAACTGCTGACACATCTAGCATGTTATGATTAGAGACATTTGCTTTTGTCACAGCATCCTGAGTGGCAGAGTTGTAAAGATGATGTCTATAATCATTCACTTCTCCAATGACTTGAATTGTAGGTGGAAATATTTGCCCTGGCATAATACTTTTTTTCCATCTTTAATATGGATCCTCAGATGGACACAAAGAGTTTTAATATTTTGTCCAACATACCCACATCCAGGAACTTGTCAGCTAAGATTTCCAGTGAACTTCCAGCTCTCCTCCTCAGTGTTCTCCCCTCGTCTATGATTTCTGTGCATATGGGAACGAAAGGCAGTGAATGTTTTAAAAGTGGCTTTACAATTCTCAATTCCACAAGAAAACATATAATTTGCATTGTGTTTATGGCTTCTAACATGTGAACTGAACAATATAAATTTGTGTGCACGGAATCTATAATATTTACAGAGAAACATTTTAAGTACCCTATATCTTCAATAGTTTCTTTTCCAGGGATATTTTAAGCAATACAACAAAAATGCATAGAAAACTAAACAGTACCTTAACAGTAGGCTAAATAGTCATAAAAGGCTCAAATATGCCTAAAATGTAACATCCCCTCAAAAAACGGAAAGTAGTATAGCTTTCACACTGGCCACAAAAAGGAAAATTATTTGACCTCAATATCAGAGTTAAACCTCTCCAACCTGTTCTGCATATCACAGCATGCACTGCCAGCAGCCTTCACCTGCAAACACTTACTGCCAAATTAGCATTTGTTTTTTTTTGCTCCTAACTTTATTGAAAACAAATGTCATACACAAGAGAAGTCAAGGAAACAAACTGACTTTGATAGCAGTCTCCATTACAGAAAATGTGAAGCAAATCATTTTACCTTTGAAAAGAAAAAAAAAGAAAAAGAAAAAATGATCAAGAGCAAAACAATAAGTAGCAGAAACATTTTGGCACAAGCAGTTTTCTTATTCATATCTGAGATGTGCTTGAGTGACTAAAAATATAATGAAAAGTTATTCAAGAAAAGGATAAACAGAGAACTGTTTTTCCAATTACATGAATAAATAAATTATTTACATAGAATATTTACAAAAAGAAAACATCAGATATTTTAAGTAAAATCTAGCTTTGGCTATCAGTCCAAAATACAATCACATGCTGACAATTGAAAAATAGATTATGCATTGTTTGTAGATCTTAACAAATTTGGTTTTAAGCATCACATTACTTTGCATGGGTAGCAGCTGAAAATTAATCACCTTGTTTGTCAGTTTTTAAAGCATTCGGGTAACTTCAATAAGGTGTTTACACATTTATGGACAAGGACCATTTTGCAGAATTTGCATGAAGATCACAGCTATAGCTAGTTTAAAAGCCAAAACATGCAGTAAAATACTTACCAGACTAACCAACTCCCCTGTAATGGGTCACATTCGGGATACGCGTTTGGAAAATGTTTTTATTTCTTCTTTTCCTAAAAGTGCAAGACAACGATCATATATTGTGTTTCCAATGTTGTTGTTTTGAAAGCAAATATCCAGGTTGTAACAGGTGAAAGTGATGAATTCTTTTTCACTTAGCTAATTCTGGGAAACCCAACAACATAAAACATACCTAGGGGTGGAAAATACCTTTGATGAGTTCTTCCTTGGCCCATTTCCTAAAGATTCCATCTATAGCTGTCTGAATTTTTTGTTACATCTATAGTGAACACAATAGATAGACAACAGCATAATTTTGGTGGCTGTAATTATCCTATAATATTGCTGTGAAAACATGCAAAAAAAACAAACAACTGGTGGAATTTTGAAATGATCAATATTTTATGGAATATTTTACATAAATTTCTTACAATTATAAAGTTGTAAACTGGTATCATGTCAGTTTTTTGATAAAATTCTGTAAACATTTATCAGTTTAAATCGCCCACCAGGCAGATGTCAATTACTGTCATTTAGGCAGTAGGACTAATAGATTAGCTTAAATATGATTTTATCAATCTGAGATGAATTTTTTATTTACAATGTAGGCTTGGTTAAAGCATCCAATCTTTTGTTTTATATTATAATTAAAATATTTTTAAAGAGATTTTAGTGAGTGTTTACATACTGTATGCTTTTATAATAGCTCAATTAAAACATTTATTCTTGGAGCATTTTCTCTTTACTATGGGGCATAGTGTTTTTTCAAAGAATTGTTTTGGTAATGCACTCTGAATGAAGATTTGAGCAAGGTATTTTAAAATGTCCACTGAAAAACCACAGACAGAAAAATGTGAGAGGTATACCAAATTTTTATATTTGCTGTACTTTACCTGTTTCCTTTAAAACAGTGACATACCATGAAAAATATGTGATGTTGTTGAATTTACTCACCATTACATGCCAAATACAGTACTACACTGCTAAGATTTTAGCTGTATTTTCCTTTTGATTTTACAGTAATATACTATAGGAATGACAGCACAGTCTAACAGTAAATGGAAATTACAGTACTACACTGCAGAGATTTTAGCTGTATTTTACTGTTGATTTTACAGTAATATACTATAGGAATGACAGCACAGTCTAACAGTGCATGGAAATTACAGTACTACACTGCAAACACTTTTAGAGGTATTTTACTGTTGATTTTACAGTAATATACTAGCAAATGCCAGCAAAGTCTAACAGTGTGTGATGTTACGTTGCCATGCCCTGTCCCTGTGTGTGAAGCTCCAGCTACCAGGTTCAGAGCCCTGGATGCAGAAACTTGCAAAGTTTGTGGAATGTATGTCTGTAAGGTTAGACCTTTAACCCTGATCCATCTAACATTGATCACTATTCACAACACTTTGATTTACTTTGTAATCAGGTCCTGGATGTGGTTGCCCCTCTCAAGCTTTGCAAGTCTCGGCCTAGGAGGGAGCCTCAGCTCTCTGATGTCACACGGGCTTGTAGGCGGACGTGTAGATCCTCTGAGAGAAATTGGAAAAAGGATGGCCTACAGGTCTTGCGTGAGTTGTTCAGAGCATCTCTGGTTGCTTATCAGGATGCTGTGAGGGCTGCTAGAACTGCCTATTTTGCAGACATCTTTGAAACAAACTCCAAGAATCCCAGGATTCTCTACAAAACACTGAACTCTGTTCTGGTGTATCAGGAGCCTAGCACCATGTCTCCTACAGCTGCTGGAAACTCTGAAGCTTTTCACAGATTCTTTGTTGATAAAGTATCAGGCATTAGAGCAGCTATTTCTGGTAACTCTATTGACCCTGTTCCAGTTCTTCCATCACCACCCACCCTGAGCTCCCTCAATACTGTTTCTTTTTCTGAGCTGAGTAAGCTTGTAGCAAGGCAGAAGCCATCTGGCTCTCCACTTGATGTTCTGCCGCCTCGTCTCTGGAAGGCTGCCTTTCCGTGTCTTGGCCCATCACTTGGTCAGATTATCAATGGGAGCCTCAGCACAGGTGTGGTCCCAGCTGCTTTGAAAGCAGCAGTTATTCGGCCGACCCTGAAGAAACCTGGTGTTGATGTCTCTGTGATCGAAAATTACAGGCCTATCTCTACCCTGCCTTTTACTTCAAAACTGCTTGAGAAAGTTGTTTATCAGCAGCTGGTCTCACATTTAACTGACTCTGATCTGTTTGAGGTTTTCCAATCAGGGTTCAGGTCTGGCCATAGCACAGAGTCAGCTCTATTGAGGGTCTTAAATGATATCTATCTATCACTAGACCAGGGTACATCTGTGGTGCTTCTGTTGTTACAAATACAGGTGAGTCCAGGGAGGTAAGTCTTGGTAGGTGCAGAGAAAAGACTTACTGGGAGATGGGGAAGGCACAGGAATGAGGGAGGGCAGGTTGAGAGCAGGGGTGTATCCAAGTGAGGTGAGCAGGAGAGCAGGTCAGATAGGAGAAATGGGGGATGAGTCAGAGCTGCGTCCAGAAGCCCTATGGGGCACGGGTGAGTAATCCTGAGGAGTCGCTGAATCCAGAGACGTTCCAAAAACCTGGAGGCGGGTAATCACAAAAATCCAAAGTTCACAAAGTCCAAGTAACACTAGAGGGCTGGAAACTACCAAGCTGTAGTAATCATCTGGTGTCGAGGTGTGTTCTCCATCCTCCTTAAATAGCCGGACCCGCTGATTGGAAAACAGGTGCAGCTGGGAACCTCCCACTCCTGCAACACACAGCTCAAAGGTGGAATATTGAGAGGAGTACTCACCCCGGCTTATGACAGTCCCTCGCTCTAGGTGTCGTACTCGCGGGGACCGGGCTTTCTCAGTCCTAGCACCGTTACTCTGGAACCAGTTGCCACCTTCAGTCAGGCTGTCCCCATCTCTGCCAGCCTTTAAGAGTCGCCTAAAAACCCACCTCCTCCGCTTGGCGTTCCCTGAACGTGTTTGAATTTGGCCCTCTTTTATGTTGATTTTATTTTGCTGTTTTCATTGGTCTCTTTATCCCTTGTTTTACCCATTTGTCTTCTACTTTAATGTTTTACCTGTTTTGCACTATTTGAATTGCTTTTATTATCGATTTATTCATCATGTTTTCACATTTCTCATCTACCATGTTCAGCGCCTTGGGCTTCCCGATAGGGTCACGGAAGGCACTTTATAAATAAAGCTTTGATTGATTGATTGATTGATTGATTGATTGATTGATTGATTGAAGTTGTGCTACGATCTTTCATCTGAGCAAACTTCTCAATAACTCTGCTGAAAGTCGTGTAATCCATGAGTGGATTTGTTTTACGTAGTGGACAGCCAGTGCATTTAACCTTTTTTGCTCCATTGTGTTCTATGTAAATGTTTTAATCCTTCTGATTGTTGAAAAGTTCCATAAACTAGCTTCTATAGTAGCTAACAACAACAGGGCTACCTCTGTACTCTTCTTCTTCCCTGTGTCTGTGGTGAAATACTTGAGGTGCATTACAGGAGTGTGGGTCTGTGCCGCTGCACACTTGCTGTCCAATAGAACATCAATGTAATGTGATGTGTGCTATTCCAGTATTTTATTGGGCTTGGGACCTGTGTTCGGAGGGATTAGTATACTATATTACTCTAAAATGAACCATTTTGTTAACTGATTATCTGAGCAGAGAGCAACAGCGCCATCTGGTGGAGCCTGGCCCCACTTGCCCCAAATGCAGAGACGTCACTGCTCAAACTGAGCATCGCAGAATTTAGATTTTTTTATTTTTTTTTTGTCGCTTTGCTTTAACAGATTTTTCTTCTAAATGATTCAGTAGCTTTATGAAAATCACTGAAAAAAAATAACACACTCTATTGTTTTACTGTGACAGACATCCAGTTGGACTTTGGTACCGTCAGAGTTTTTCAAGAGACTAAACAGTCTGTCCGACTGGTGAACAAAGGGAAATGTGATTTATCTGTCAAGTGAGTTTTAGCAGCTTTTTTACTTTTCATTGTTCCACACAGTGTAGATCTGCTATTCATTGTTTTTTGTTTTTCCTCAAGGTTCATGGTTATGCAGAGCAACCCAGCTCTTCCAAAGCCAGAGTCCATTTTCACCATTACTCCACAGAAGAGCTTCCAGTTGCCCATTAAGAAGCCAACAACAGTGTCCATCACCTGCACACCTGACAGAGAAGTCTCCATTAAATCACAACCCATCCTGGTTTGTCAGGTGAGGAATAATCCTAAACTGAGCATTAAGCTGTTCCACTCTGTTGTCATCTAATGTGTGAAGACTGTTTAGTAAATTAGGCAGCTGTTTGAGTTTTTAATTCACTGTTACATTTTGTTTCTCCGGCCAAAAGAAAGCAGTCATCAGGCACGAGATGTTTGTTTGAATCTTTGCAAAATTGTTTGGCATTGAACGTTTTGGAGTCCACCTGATGAAGATGCCAGCTCACCTGAGAAAAGACAAAAATGGTTCCAACTCGGTCGTTTTTACAGAAATGAAGCTAAAATCTGAAGCTGCTTTGTGAGATTATGCAGTCGTTTTCACAATCTAACCAAGATTACCACAGGATTACTCATTATTTCTTAACACAAGGTGATCTTAGTGAGATGCATTAAGCAAATCAGACAGTAATTAAACCATTAGTCAGGTTGTAGGAAAGTAGGGGCAGGAGAGATGAGATGACTAGTTTGAATAAAAAACAAACAAAAACAAAACCCTGAACATTATGAACAAATACCCTGAGTCTAAAAATAGAACAAGTGATACTGTGACATCAAGGCTCAGGAAACTTGGCATAGAAGAAATATTTCTAGATGGAATCCATCTACAGCACACAGACAAAAACTGTTATCAGAGTTCCTCACCTGATCTTTTAGGTGGTTTGATCAACACAATGTTTTAAACAACATGCAAACTACTTCATGACGGAGGTAAAAAAACAAATGTTTAATCTATGATTCTGTTCTGTAGCTTAAAGGAAGAGTGCTGATTTGTACATGAGGCTAACTGACTGTATCTTGTGCAGGTGATGGAATTCAAGTTTGGTGAAAAAGGACAAACCTTAACCTTCGTAGACTTCCATGTTTCTCTTCAGGCTGTTTTCTCCAGGTTATTGTACTTATTCTGTCATTTTTTTGCTCAGAAACAACCAGAATTGTGTCACTTTTTTAAACACACTTAGTTAGTTGCAACATTAAAAGACAGTTGTGAATGTCTGCATAAGTTGTGATGAAGTTCTGCAACAATTCTTAGGTACCAGATCACTCCTGCGCAGGAAGCAGACTTTGGTCCTCTGGTGTGTGGCACTAAGAAAAGCCAGAGCTTCAATATTGAAAACAAAGGACAGCTCCAGTTTCAGTTCACCATCAGCTGCAATGGTTCTCATCCTGGGTAGGAACACAACACGCTTCAGCATGTTGATGTTGGCACATGCAGAACATGCTAACTGTAAGCAGGAGGATTTAAACCTGCAACCTTCTTGCTGCGAGGCAACAGAGCTACCAGCTGCGCCACCATGCAGCCCCACATTCAATTAAATAAATGACACAGATTAAATTAGTTTAATTTGTTAAAATATGAGCTTTTTAATTTTCTTTTCTGATTTCTGGTTTGGATAAAATGTTGCACAGAGAAAATTCTTCTGCCAAGTCCACTTGTACCGGACCTAAAAGGAAAGAAACACCTGTTCAACAGGTAAGCAAGCATCCTAGCTGTCTCTCCAGCAGGCTGTTGTTGCAGACAGACACTTTATAACTTTGCTATGTTGTTGCATCTTTTGTACATTTAAATGAAACAAGTGGTGTCACTTAGCTGATTTTGACACCTATCTTGGGGAGTTTGGACACTCCTGTGTAAGTTTCTGTTGAACATCATTAAAGATTGTCTTTGATTCCCTGCTTGCATCACAAGCATCAAGGTTTTTGACAGTAAATGTTTTGTTTTCCATCTGCAAAACAGCAGGACACCAAGAAAACGGCATGATCTTTGCGTGCAGTGTTTACTTAAGCTTTTGTGTTGCTCCCAGAAACTCCTGACTTTGGGAGAGTTCTCAGTCTGCCCCTGTAGTGGAAGTGTGCAGCCAGGGTCTTCTCAGCAGGTGATCGTGGACTTTGTGGCTGACCAGCCTGGTACCTGGAACCAGATCCTGGTCATTGATATTAGTGGCCGTAACCCGTCAGATCATCCAGATGGAATACCATACAGACTGATGGCTGAAGCCTGCAAACCAGGTATCAGCACCAGCACCAGGGGTTAACATCATTGATCTTGACTCTCAGTGGAGCTCTTTCTGCTTTGTACAAACACGCCTGGTTTAAACTGCTTGTTGTTCAGGATATTTTGTGTAAAAAATGTAGGTTGCGTAGGTTTGTTGCTTCTGTTATGTCAGTCCTGCCTTCCTATGTGTGCAACGGTAAACAACAATAACAGATTAAAGCCAAAACAGGGTTTACACCAGGTAGTCTATTAAACCGGTTAATGATTCTTTATTAACAGTTACAGCATGACAGCATCATAAATGCTGAACCATATAATAAAGTCTTGTTTATTTTATTTTTCCTATTTTTTTATTTTTCTTGTCCAGCTATTGATTTAGACACAACCTTCATCTTTGAGGAGCACTTCCTGTGCCATAGCCGCAGCCAGTTGTCCTCTGATCAGTTCAGAGAAGCTGAAGGCATTTATGTTGTGGATGAAAACAAGTTTGTCTTCAACAAAATCCAGGTTGGTAGAACTGCTCAGGCCCGCTTCAGGATGACCAACACCAACAATGTCTCCTGCAGACTCAAGCTGGCCATCAGAAGTGTCCGACCACAGGTGAGATTAGTGGAGCCATTCCGTTCCCGTAGGCACAGAGTCAGAAAATCTAAAAATATGCGATGGATTTTCTTTCAGGCTTCACAAAACATGGATATATTTGGCTTACCCGTTACAGTGCTGAAAGTACCCAAACAGTCACACGCATTAGCTTTCGTCACCTTCACACCTAAAGCCGCACAGCATTACAGCGCTGTGTTCCAGGCCATGGTGGAAGGCAGGTGAGTGTACGTTACAGTAGATGAGATCAGTGCCACATCTGGGGTTCTATAGCTGTGGAGTGTATTCTTCCTTTGCTGTGTCCAGTGGATCAACGACATCAGAAAACAAGAGGCTGGAGTTTGGCCTAGAAGGAGAAGGCAATCTTCCCACCATACGCGTGCTGCGACCCGTTCTTAGAACCAGCTCAGGAGCTCCAAAGATGCATTTTGGGCATGTTTGGGTTGGGCGGAGGCGCACCTTACCTCTGGTTCTGCTGAATGATGGGAATGTCACAGCTCAGGTGGGAGTAGGCTAATCTTTTATTTTTATGTAAAGGGCACAATAGTATTACAGCATGTTATAATGAAAGAACAAATCGTTTTGTGAGAATGTTTGTGTGTGTAACTGTCATTTAGGTCCATATTTACATGATGGATAAATTTGGTGTGTTCACCATCGAAGATTCTTCTGGTAACACCTCCGTTCACTCCACCCAGCCAGAAGACTCCGGTAAACAGTGAAATACTTCTGTTCTCAAGAAGTACTTCTATTTTTCAGTGTTGTAGTTTTGACATCATCTAAATTTCAGTAGCTAATGTTTACTCAGACCCAGTATCTACACGAGGGTCTTCCCTCTGACTCATGGGTCCATAAATCAAGGTCACAAAGGGGTGGCCATTAAATTAGAACTGAATAAAACAAGAAACCCTTTATGGGAAACAAGGTGCTACATTACAAAAGATAAATAAAGAATGAAATGTTATTATTAAAGAGCAAGTCACCCCCCAATCAACTTTTTTTTGCTGATAAACTATATAAACGAGTGTCTAATCATGCTGTAGACACGTGTAGTCAATAATTTGACACTTTAATGCATCTTAGTTCACATTTAAATATTCTGCCTAAAACTGTCAATGTTGCGCCTTTGTCAGGTAAAAACTCTGCATTACATTTGAATTTAAATCTGCCATCGCTACTGGCTAAGACGTACACAATGACGTTAGTTGGTACATTATGATGTCACAATGCTGTTGTGAGCTTGTGTGTGTGTGTATTTGTTAGCGGCTCCGCCCTCTCGGTCTGCCAGGCAACAGCATTTGTTGCATTTTTCAAACATGAAGTGGGAGGGAAGTAAGACTTGTAGGGGGTGAGTTGCACTTGAAAGGCATAAAATTGTATTTAAATTCTGAAAAACAACCATGAATAATGGATTAAACATATAAGAAATTGTGAAATCATCATAAATGAAAAAAGTTATTTCATTTACATATTTTGTAAATAATTTTGTTTCATGATTTATTTCATCGTTTTTTTGTTGACTTTGCATTACATTAATTTATTTTCATCTAATATTAGATTTATTTAAAAAAATGCAAAATAAATTGTTGACAGTCTGGAAATAACAATAAATTCCTGCTGATTTTCTATTAATTACTAGGTCTAAATATCTCACACCAGACCAAAGCAATCAACCTTCAGTGTTAGCCCCGCCCCCTGACTTAAATGAGCAGATTAAAGGTTGAATATGAAACAATTTAATAAAACGCTATATTTAAACAAAACATCCACAGTACGTTTAGAGGTGTGCAGAATGAAGATAGTGTTTCCTTTAAAAGCTATATTTTAATTAAATATTTATTTAGAAGGCACAACGCTGGGTTTATGTTTACATCTACCAGCCTTTAGAGGGCACTATTACGGGTTGCCAAACAGTCCGCTCGGCAAAGCGAGTTTGGTCCTGTAGAAAATGGCGTACTCTGCAAGTCACGCAGCTGCTTCTGAACCCAGAAGATGTTATCCTTCTCAGAAGAAGAGCATCTATAAAAGATCTAAAACCAGAGTGAGCTTAGGTGAAGCCTACAACAGATGGAACCAAATAAAAAATGTCACATGTCGGCAGCGAACCTGGTATCCCGACGGCAGGAAACCTTGTTCTGCTGTTGCAACAACAACCTCCACACACTAGATGTCTCTTTGGTGTTGTTCCATATTCAGACTTTAATAAAGACAGATGAAATCATGATATATTTATATATGATTTTTATAAACAGTTTGAATATTTTTATTTATGACACATTGAATAAATTCTGGGTTTCATAGGTTACTTGTGTCCTCAGATTTGCCTCATCCTAAAGAATCTTTAATACCTTATTTTCATTTTTTGTAATGTAGCAACTTTGGCTCTCAATCCCAACAAGGAGTCAGCATATAGCCAGCTGTCTGCCGAGAGCTAAATTAACTCTTTCTTTTTACATTCCCGGCTAATATTTCTCATGGCAAACGTTTTTCCTTCTGCTGCAGATGTCCGCTCAGAGCACAGGGCCATTCTGACGCTAAATGCTAAGGAACAGACAAGCTTCGAGGTCAGCTTCTGCTCAGACAAACCGATGTGTGTCAGAGCATCGTTGTTACTGCAGGTGAAGGACAACAAGCACAGCAACACTACGGTCCAAGTGACTGGGGAGGCGTACCAGGAAATCATCTCACTCAATAACATTCTCAGGTCGCCACAGCAGACGGATCAGGAAGAGGAACCTGAAGGTAGTGAAATTAGAGAGTGCATAAGAGTCTTTGGTTCAGACTTTCTCAGTTGATGGGGAACAGCTACTTCCTTAAATAAAAGCCTGTGTTTTACACTAAATCCACTAAAAGTCATCCTTTTCTCTAAGGAAACTACAAGGTGCTGCATTTTGGTGACTGCTACATTAACATGGTGCACCAAAAGAGATTCACCATGACCAACCACAGCAGCAGCCAGGTGGCCAGGTTTGAGTGGCCCCTCGGTGAACCTCTCATCAACATTTCCCCTCAGGTGAAGAATGGATGTTGTATATTAATATGTTTACCTACAACTGTTATCTGTGCTTTAATTGTTTGGTTAAAAATCCATTTTGTTGATCATTTTTATTTGTTTTCATCCTTTTGATGTTTTATTTCAGAAGTCAGTCTCAGTTTCGCAGAAAGCCTTCTGTGACATTATTATATTTATTAGGAAAGCCTGTTTATAAACGGTAGAATATGACAAACAGAAACATCTAAATTACTTTAGTACCTAGAATCAGGGGCGCAGATAGGATTTTCAAACTGGAGGGGACAAAGTTCCAATGTACCCTCCCCCAAACACACACACACACACACACACACACACACACACACACACACACACACACACACACACACACACGTACACGTACACAAACTATTGCAAGCGCCTTAACTAGAGCTCAGTCAGTTTGTGTAATTTCATCCAATGGTTTACGTAAAAACGAACACTATTATATACATGTTTGAAGCCATTATGCAGTGGAACGCTGGCAGCTCTGCCTGATCAACACTATAAATGATAAATGATGCGCACTTGTATAGCGCCTCTCAGAGTAAGGACTCCAAAGCGCTTTACACTACAGTGTATCATTCATCCATTCACACACACATTCACACACTGATGGTGATAAGCTACGATGTAGCCACAGCTGTCCTGGGGCACACTGACAGAGGCGCTCCACTATTTAATTCAGTCATTTGTTATTCTCCCAATCAATTACTGACCAAAACCTCATGCTTTATGCAAAACATTAAATGATTTTCAGCGTACCAATCTTTACAGAAAACATAAAAGCCCTAAAAACTGCACATAAAATATATCTAAAAACAATATTCACTTATCACTTAGAGCAGTGGTTCCCAAACTTTTCAGCCTGACCAACAGATGTTCCTTCGTATTTTTACGATATTTAGAATTTTTCATATTTTTCAATTTTTCATTTTTCATTTTTATATTTTGAAAGTTTTTATTTATATATAAATATATAATGTCTTTTTAAATTTTATATTTTACCTTTTTTATGATTATGTGGCACACTTGACTTCCATATTTAACTCTTTGGCATCTGCCTCTTTTTACGGCTTTTTTTTTTACATTGTCGCTACGTCTATTACGTTAGCGGTGTTTTACCATCATTTCTACATCCATCACGTCCCAGAGAAGGTTAAACCAACATCAAACCCAATGTTTGGAGCTTGTAAACTCCACACACCTCTCGTGCAGCACCAGCTGTCTGATGCTGCAGCAGCTTCAATCTTCCCGGCTGGATGAGTGAATTTCTTCATCAGAGTCAATATTCTGCTTCATAATCAGAGTCAGTCTTGACCAGACAAAGTGATCAGTCAACAAAGACCGTTTTATCTTATATTTGCACTCTTCATGCTGCACGCTTCTCCTCATCTCCCCGACTGGGAGCCTCTAGCCGGGAGGCGATTTTCAAACTCTAAAAACTCCCAAACTTTGCTCAGCCTGAAGGTTCCACATCTCCACTATCTTCTGGTGTAAAGTAGTAACTTCATGAGGGATCATATTTATAGATGAGACTTGTTAAAGTCAGCAATGATGCTTTGGTGCTTATAACGAGTAAGTCCCAACACTGACAACAACGTACTGAATCTATAACCAACATGCATAAACAGACAGATCGGTCCCGCCTATTTACACTGTTGGTCTTTTTTAAATACGCAGTAATCATTGCTTGCCTTTTTCGCTTCATCCTGCATCCTAGCAGCAACCACTTTGGCGCCTCTGGAGTCGGTGTTTGTTTACGTCATGCTGCATTCGGTGTAATTGGAAAAAGAAGCTTCAAGCGCTTAACCTCCGATTTTGTTTTCTTTCTGGCCTTAGTTGGGGGGGACGGATATCTGTGCGCCTGCCTAGAATAACTTTTATCAGTTGTAAAAGATGCATTTGTTGCAGGTCGGGCACATCCATGCTGGTTGCTCTAAGGAAGTGATCGTCAGCTTCAGGTCGAGTCAGCCAGTGACACTGATCAACCAGCCAATGAGGTGTAAGATCTGTCTGGTGGAGTTGCAGCAGCCGACCCAGCAGATGGCTGACTGGGACGACCAACAGAGAATAGTCCTGTATGAGAGCACTTCTTCACTTTCAGCTTCAGAATCATCTGAACAGCCTGTGGTGACTAAGGTACACGTGGTGCTGCTCTGGTATCGTCTGCTCTGCGTCCAGACGTCTTCACTCGTGTGTGTTTTCTTGAAGGTGACGAAGACTGTTCCTCAGCCTGCCTGTTCAGTGGTTGAAGGTTCTGAGGGGGAGTTGAATTTGTGCATCAGTGCAGTTTGTGACTTTATGAAGTTCAGCTGCAACACTGACAGCATCCACTTCAAGGACACTGGGATATTCCAAACCAGGATCCATCAGTAAGTCACTGTGCCAGGGATGCACACACTTCCTTCGAGGTCAAAACACTATTTATGTTGCATTTGGAGTTTACACACTTTTATTTCACGAGGGAAACTTCCCACCACAAGTCCTGTTAGATGTTCTGTTTTTAATCTGTTAAAAAGTCTTATTTGGTCGCTCCATAGATATCCAAACTGACTTCACTTTTTATTTGTATTTTCTTGTATATATATTGTTATTTGATATGTTTAACTACAAACAGGAAATTAATCATACATGATTACTTTTCTAGAGAAATTTTACTACATGAAATAAAAATAAATGTTAACATTTATCCTCATAACATTCCAGTTAGGAGATTAGGATTTTCTCCAGTGAGCGCGCTTTGAAGCTTTAACCCTTTAACCCTTTAAAAGTGTTTTTATTTCCTTTTCTTGTTCTTCAGATGAAAACAAGACTGTTAGTTGTTTATTATGATAGTTTTTTATATAAAACACATTTCCAAGGTTCTGTTAAATGAAACATTTGTATGTTTTCACATAAAGATTGCAGATGATGAATGTGGGGGATGTGAAAGTGGAATTCTCCTGGAATGTTTACATGGATCCAGGCACCAATTTCATAAATCGTGATCAAAAAGGTACCGTAGAAAAAAAATCATCTTATTCAACTTGTATTGAATTTCCTCTAAAATGACTTGTAACCAAGTTGGTAATTGTATCAAATCCAGTTGTACTGGTTGATGAGAAAGTTCTGATGGTGTGTGAACGTGAGGATATGTGGTCGCCAACAGGTGAGACCTCCACGTCTCGATCCAGCAGCAGGTCATCAGTGTCACTGTCAGGTCGTCCTTCCAGCGCCCTCGGCAGCATCATGTCTCTCCTGATGAGAAATCCCGAGGAGCTTCCGTTCAGCGTGGAACCGGCTTTTGGAACCATAGATCCTGGTGCAACTCAGAGCTTTCACATTCGCTTTTCACCAGTGGAGGTGGCTCAGTTTCAGGGCAAGCTGCTCTGCAGGTACTGAACCATGACATTCAAATGAACGTAAGATGTGAAAAGTGCTGTTATAAACACACAAAATGCTGTTCTGGTTCCCGTTTGCACACCCAGCACTAGATTCTGTTTATTTAATGTTTACAAATTTCTTGCAGCATTCCCAACTTGCAGGACGGGGATCAGGCTCCCTGTATTCCGGTGTTGGGCCGCAGCTTGCTGCCCCACTGCCACTTCGACTTTGAGGACTCAGATTACATCAGTAACAACCGCCGGCGTCCCGAGTTCAGGCGCCCTGTGGACCCAAACAGTCGAGTTCTGGAGTTTGAAGCCGTCGGCCTCTTTCAAACAACCACACGGTGAAAGAAGGAAGGGAAAGTTTTACCTGCATCCATTCGCAGCTCTAAAGATTTGTGTTCTTGCATGACTTTGCAGATGTTTTAATGTGGTGAACCCAACCAGTAAGGCTTACTCGTTCAGATGGAGGTGTGAGGACACAGATGCTACTCGTTTCCGTTGTCTCACGTCTTCTGGCTCCATCCAGCCTGGGACGTCATTGGAAGTAAGACAAGAAGTACATAATATTAAATCATCTGGCTCACAGGTCCTTGAGTGTTATTGCTCTCCATGTGTCTCCAGATGAGATTTAAATACTCGGCAAACCAAAAGGACACGGTGGAATCGTTCTGGAGCTTTGTGGTAGAAACCCTGTCGCTGTCTGTTCCTTTCCTGTTAGTGGGCACCGCCAGAGAACCACACGTCTATCTCAGCAGAGCTCATGTTGATTTTGGAGAACTAACTGTTGGTAAGTGTTATAGTCATGGTGAAAAACACACTATCTCATCTCTAAAAGACCTAATAAATAATGGGTTTTTTTTCCTGTCATATTGTCATGAACTTTAACCTTTGCCCTGCTAGCTGAGGCCTGTTGGGTCTGAGATGGAGCTCTTTGGTATATTTTGTTTCCCTGAGTGTTACGCTCCTTGACCTCTGACCTCAGGGTTGGACTCCACAGGACTTTCACTCCTGCGATGACTGACAGCTGCTTTAAGTGCTTCCCCCTCATCATTAATCTTTCTCTGTGTAGAATGAAGGAGTTCAAGGTGTATGAAATTGCCCTGTGACCCTTCCCAGATTGATCACCGTTGATGTCTTTCCTCATTGGCATTGTGTGAACACACACCTGTATGCTCCGGAGCAGCAAACTAACAGTGCTGATAATGATTAGTTCGTTCGTGTGAGACTGCTGGAGAACTGGTGATGACCAGAGGATGTATATTTATTATTTTCTCTAAATGTGTAAAAGCTTAGAAACAAGGGAGGGTTCTCTTACTGACTTTAATATTATTATTTAATCCACCTGCAGGTGAGTTCAGCTTTCGCTGTTGTCTGAAGTCAAAGCGTCTCCTGGGAAAATGTGAATGAATGTGCAAATCTGTCTTTGTGTGTGTGTGTGTGTAGGTTGTAAATTTCAGCAAACAGTGGATCTTGTGAATGAAGAAAAAGAACCTGCTCATTTCTCAGTCCTGCAGTCGTCTCTGTCCTCTGAAGACCAACAGTCCTGTGTCATTTTGAAGCCCATGGACGGAGAGGTGGCTTCTGAAAGCAGGTCAGTAACTCAGTTGCTTCATATTAATGTAAATACAAGTTTACTATTTACTTTCCAGGTTTCTGCATGTTTGTTGTAAAGCATTAGTTTCATCCATTAGTTTGTTGTGACCTCTTTGCTGTAGGTTGCCTTTGCTGGTGTTCTTCAACCCCACCTCAAAGAGACCTGTGAACTTCAAACTGGTCCTGAAAGTAAAGAGGAAGTCGGAGCCGCTCACACTGACTGTTAAGGCCAACTGTTTCTCAGAAAACACTTCAGTTCTAGTTGAGACCCAAGACGGTGCCCTGAGGGAGGTCACCCCCACCCAACGAGACACACTAGACTTTGGGAAGGTCAGCATATCGTCAAAGACCACAAACACCCCCATAACCAAAATCTGTTACCACTGAACCTGTTGGTGTTCTATCGCCCACAGGTGGGGATTTCAGAGCAGTCCTCCTTTAACATCCTGGTGTTCAATCCTTCAAAATTCACCCTGGAAGTGACCTTTGAATTAAGCGGTCCCAGAGACCAACTCCGACACCTAAAGGCTAAACATTCAACTGCTACTATCAAGGCTGGGGTGCAGCTCCACACGTCTCTGTCCTTTAGTCCTCAGAGCGTGTGCAGGCTTCAGGGTGTCACGTTAACCATGAAGGTTAGAAGCTCTTAAACATCTGGTTGCATTTTAAAGAATTTACTGGTTTTATTAGTTTAAGAGGAACTAAATCAGAAGAACAGAACTGCTGCAAGGTTTTCAGGACAACATCCACGTGTGTCACTGGAATGACAGTATATGCTATTTTAATGTACCGGCAGTTTACTCTAAAGTCTAGTTGAAAACACTCCAGTTCAATAATCTAAATATATCAGTTAGTTTGAGTCAGTTAAAATTATAATCCAAGATTAAAATCTAGGATTACAGAGTAAGGAAGACATTTTGGATTAAAAGGTTTTTTTTTATCAGTTATTTGACGTATTAGAGGTAACTTTTAAACACAAAACACACACACAGTAAAACTTGACCGGAGTTGACCACTAGAACCACAAATTGAGAAATATTGAAATCAATATATGAAGGACTCGTCTGTTGTTGTTTGAATCGGTTATTAAATGGCTGAACAAATATTATCTATGAATTAATTCTTAGTTTCTCCCTCTTCCTCAGGTAAAGCTCGGACCAACATTCACCTTTGTTATTAAAGGCAGCGCGGAAAAGGCCCGCCAGCACTGAAGAAAAAAGTTCTTTGGGTTTTCTTGATTTTATTTAGTTCATCGGTTCTGCATTAATAAAATAATTTTAACCAACAGCACATTTCTCTTTCCTTCAACCAATGAACTCTCATCAAACCAAAGTATTTTATTTAAGTTTGACTACTTTAAAAAGTCAAATTGACTTAGCGTGATTTTTATAAAATATATTTTTTTACAGTCTAAATAATTTCATTATGTTTACTGTACAATATTTAACTGTAATACCAACTTGTTTTTAATTCTAGAATTACAAGGGTATTATGTCACCCTAATGCAAGTGGTTTATTATGTAAATAAGGGTTTCACTGTGTTTTATTTACAGAAAGAGCTTCTAAATAAGTATTGTAGTTTTAAAGGGACATTAAGCAGATTTGCTCGCTTTTAGCACCCCCTAGTGTGAACACCTGGATGATGGCCACGCTCCTCCAGTGGTCCTTATTCATCTTTGTGGAAAACATTTTAGCACTCTAGCTTCCCTACTCTCATTAAACCAACAACACAACTGATAATGGAATTGTTTACTTCTGAAAACCATTTAATACAAGCTGCTAATTATTGAAACGGATGCCCAGAAAGTAGAAAAGTCTAAACACCTACTAAATAATCAGAAGGTTGTATTTAGTGTTCGTAAAGGCCTCGCTGCAGAGTCAACAGTTTTCTAAGGACAACAAAAAAACAACTCTTAAATGGAATTTATTGCTGACACACAAAATAACAACTCAGTTTTCCACATTTGACAAGCAGCCCTGAAAATAAAAAAGGTACCTGGATAAAATCTAACAAGTTAAAAGTTTAACATTTATTTAAAATATCTAATAAATAACCTATCAGGCACAAATACATAAACAAAAGCTGACGCTTGTCCAAACAAATCACACTAACAATTTCAAACTGATGTGCACACAAAGAAATGTCCTGGGATACGCAGCACCTGCCCAACGACTGCATCAGTACCTGAGGGATTGTCAGATTTGTCACTAGCAAACTAATCTCACCCAGAGTTTTAACAACTAACTGCCCTACGGCTTACAGCACGTCTGTGTGACGTTTAGACTGGCAGTAGTACAGAAACTACTCTGAGGGATTTAAAAGCATCCTTTCACTTTACATTCACGTCTTTTCTATGGTACAAAATATGCAAAAATAGGCACAGCTTTACTAGTAATGCTACAAACTGGTAATGTTTGGTCATTCCGTTCAAAATATTCAATAACAATCATCAACACAAAGGCTTTAAACAGAGGAACCAACCCCATCTTTGGTTCAAGTAGAGCAAACTCCTTATTAATAGTTCAGATCATTCAAGAACAAAGTAAAGGTGCACACTAACAAAAACAGCCCATAATAAAACTAAAGCTGAGAACAATTTTACCTGAACAAATAATTCCAAAAATCACAACCTGAACTGTGCTCAGCAACATCAAACCGGACCTTCCAGATTGGGCTGAGGGATAACCGCGGATGCTCTTGTGGTTGTTTCTCCCAAAGTGCTTTGATGTGGTTGGATTCAGGAACGGGAATATCGCTCCAGCTGCAGACGCCGTTATGTCTGCAGAGCAGAGAGCCGTCGCTCAAGACGCTTCTTACCTGAGAACATTTTAAAAAGTAGAAACAACATTTATCAGAGATTTACTTCAGGTTTTCTAACTGCTGTTGTTTATAGAGTCTATAATTACATTTTTCTATGATGTCGATGTCTTTTTGCTCAGTGAGGATTCGTGATAGACCCTCCATGAGCAGAAGGGCTTTGTTGTAGCGCTGCATCGTGGCTGCACCATAGTGGAACATCTCATCTAGAGCAGCTGACTGCACCTGAATGCGTTACGTGTTTAAAAGGCAGAGATGAGGACAGAACGATTCGATCTGAGACAAGCATGGACACTGTGACATGAACTCACCATGTACACAGTATGGCTGTAGATGAGCTTCTCTGCTGTGAGCCCGCTGAAGCGGTCCATGAGCCTCTGCTTGTCAAGCAGGAAGGTCTGTAGCCGATCATTCAGGGTCCGGCAAAAAGTCACACAGTTCTTGTACATTCTGTTCAGCTTCCTGATCACTGGAAAAAGTTAAAAACATACACATTTTCTTTAAATATCTTACCTATAAGCTATCACAGAGAACAGCCCATCCATTAAAGACCGGCTCGTTATGAAAACAGCACCTTTTTTTACCTGCTTTAAAGCAACACTAGGCTATTGCTTTGAAACTGGTTTCAGTGGTTCTTGAGCAAGAAATTTGACCAACTTCCCATTAGACAGCCCTCTGTAGCCCTCTGCTGACCAGAAACTACACAACACCTTTGTGGCTCAGGTAGAAACACTAGTGGGGGTCTCTAGCTACTTTGCTGCAAAAGCTGTTTACAACGTAAAGAGCTGAAACCAGAGTGAACATCAGAGTGGCCTACACTCGTTTGTTGGAGCTGAAGGGGGAAACAAAACCAAGGACTGATGGTGACCTGGCTTTGTTGCTACCGGACTTCTATGTAATAGTATTTGTCCAACAGTGTGGATATTTTAATATCATGGCTTTTTTAGTATTAATTGGCTTGCGTTAACGTTAGCTGCTTGTTAGCGCTAGCTACAGCTGACTGTGGCAGGTTTGTTTACAACAGTTGTGATTCCACTTTCATCCAGTAGGAGGGAGAAGCAGGAAACCCATTTAGTGTTGCTTTAACTGAGACTAAACAGCTCTTGGCTCATCCATTAATGATAGAACTCATGTATAAAGTCAAACAGCACCCCACCTTTAAGTATGAACACCTACAATTCCATGAGAATGTGGAGAAACAATCATCAATCAAACTGAACTTCTAAAAAGGTAACTGTGTCACTTTGAAAACACAAATTTACCTTGTTTGACTGTAGCGGAGGGCAGCAGCTGGCCCTGTTTTATATTTTCTTGAGCAGCGTACAGTGCGGATGACAGAAACTCCTCAGCTTTCATGTACAACACCAGCTGCTCTGCATAACTGGAGCACACGAGAAAACAAAGCTACTGCAAGGAAGATCTGTGCGATAAGAAGCTACTGCACATGCAGAAAGAACAATGGTCTCACCTCCACTCTCTGCTCAGAAGGCTGATCTGGTCTGTCACAAAGCTCTGCTCTAAGAAGGAGATATCAGGGCTGCTGACTGCACCCAGACCAGGGTCTTTTGAGGAAGCCAACTCCATAACGCAGGTGACAAAAGCCAAGGTGAAACGCAAGTCGCTCAGTGTGTCTGTGTGAGCTTGCTGCATAAAGAGAACATCAAAGTCTATGATGGTTAAATAAGATTTAAATGTATTTGTTCTTCGCCAACTACAGAGCAGAGCTCTCCCTCTGCGTTTGTCTTTACCTCCATCAGAGTATCTTCAGGAAGTGCAGGAGGGTGAAAAACCAGACTGTAGTGTGAACCAGCATCCATGACCTCCGTCTCACTATTCCTACGGCTTCCTCGCTGGAAGGGGCGGCTGCTGAGTAGCCAGGCTGAGTTAACGAAGCTGGGAGAGCCTGGGTTTTAGGCAAAAGGCACATTCAGCTTAACCGTGAGGAGCTGACTGAGCAGTGAAGACGGTTGAGGAGGATTTATTTACAGACCTACTGCAACACGACCTAAAATAACCTACCTGAGTACATCTTTGACACCACGTCTTCAGGAAGGGTGTTTCCGTTGGAGGGAGAACCCGCGGTAAAGAGCACAGCAGGCGGGCTCTCGGAGAGCTGAAAGACTTTGTGACACCCAGAAGGTGGAGCTGTGGAGCCAAACAAAGGAATAAGTAGCTGTACCTGACTAATGTGTGTGTAAATGTGCTGTAAGGATTAAATCTCACGTCGTTTTAGTCAATTTGCCAATTTCTCCAACACAAAAGCTGAATTTGGATTTTGGACGTATTTTGGTGACAGATTAGGAGACAGCAAACGATGAAGTGTTTATTTTACTCTGTACCTGTATCCATGCTTCTGTCACTGCTGAAACTCCCGTCGGGTTCTTCTTCAAACAGGTTTGCTTCAAAGGCCGCTTTCAGCAGCATGTCAGACAGTCTGCCGGCGCTGAGGGATCTGAATGTTTAAAACAGCCACACACACATCGTAACTATCATGTAGTCCTCAAAGTACACCCAGGTTTACTAAAATATATCCAGTAACCGCGCTGACCTTTTGAAAGGGCCTTTCTTATTGGCGGATGTACTGTTGAGGTTGGTCTGTGAAGCAGGAGCTTGTTCCAGGGACTGCAGGTTTAGGAAGGTCCTGCTTCGGTTCGGCTTTCTAGGCTGCTACAAATGAAATGTTCCTCACGGTTAAAGACCTTTCTGCAGTGGTATGTGAGCTGTGTTTGTGAAGAGTGTAAAGAAAGATGTGCAGGAGAAATCTGAAGAGTTTAGGAGATCCATAGATGGAGGCTGACCCTGTGGCTGGAGGGGACCCGAGAGTCAGGAGAGCCCAGGGGAAGCCCGGTTCTTGTGCTGAGCGGGAGCGTCTGCTCCGACGTCTTCGGAGTCAGACCAGCTAAAACAGAATCATTACATAATTAAGTCATCTGGCTGATTTCCCCTGACAACAAATAAGTGATTAGTGTGAAATCAGATTAGTTTCATAACAAAACAACTTATTAAACCCACTTAATGACATGACTGTACAGGTTTTATGAATAAGGTCTGGCTGCTGCAGCCTCATGAGTAAACATCTGAAAGTCATGTACAGAGTCAGCTTGTCTCTTCATGTCTGCACATTTCTAATCCCACACTAGAAACATTAAACAAGAGGCCAGCTGGTTGCTACCTTGTGGGGAAGCTAGCTGAAGTTGGCCTCCTTCTTCCTCCAGTGTTGGGAAGCTAGAGGTAACAGCTGGACTTGGAGCTGAACACCCTCTACACTCCACAACGGCTGCAGCGCTGCAGTCAGCACAGCACAGCCCCGCCCTGAGAGACAGAAGACATCATCAAACACGGACAGATGGGAACAGACAATAAGACGATGTCTCTCTGAGGTGTTTGAACATGCCTAGTGGAGCCATGAGAACCCACGGGCTGCAGGTTCTGTTCCAGACGTTGGTAGTTGTGGATCTGAGTTGGAACGGGAATGGGTACGGATGGGGTGCAGCAACGGCCGTTTAATGTGGGAGGGTGGCTGCAGGGTTGGTGGGTGAGGACGTCAGGAGGGATTTAGCTGATGGGTAGGATGTGTACAAAAACAACCCAACATCTCTAAAATGTATTTATACCTAACAGGGTTGGGAGGAGAGTGTAGCGGGGCTGGAGGTGGTGGTGTCCTTCCTGCAGCTCCAGAGCCTCTCCTGGCCAGAGTGGAGCTCCTGAACAAACACATTTATGGCCCAATGAGGAAATGATGTCTTCTGACAGTAATAATCTGTGACAGTTGAACAGGAAGTGATGACTGACCCTCTACTCATCAAATAACTGTCGGTAGGTGACCCATCCCCCAGCTGGCATGAGTACTCGCCTATGAAACATGGCAGGGTTAGACCTTTTTATTAATGTTGCCTGTGAAGAAATATCTATGCAGTTAAGTAACCCAGATATCCTCAATACGGTGTCCACTTTGGGACATTTGTAGGGCTCGAGAAGACATCATCACACAAGAAATGAACAAAAGGGCATCAGGTATCGATAAAGAAGTCATCAGATTCCAGACCAGCCCTCTCTAAAACAACAAACACAAAGGGTGAACTGAATATTTACAACCTGCTGCTTCTTCTGAAAGCCACCTTTTCATCCCCTTACTCATGTTTCCCCGATGCTTTTCCACCTGTCAGCTTCTCAACACCTGATGCCCTTTCCCTGGCGACGGTTTTCTAATAGCTGATGTCTGGTGGCTTGTTTTCTGAATTCTGACACATTTTGTCTAAAGTCTGATATCAGAAGTCTGAAGATGTCTTCCTGTCTCCAGAGAGAAGCTCAGAAATCTTACAGGAGAACTGATCAGACACCATGACGTAATCTTCTGTATAAGATGTCTGATTTATAGCGTCTTGATTGGCTGCTTCCTTCTCCAAGAGGCTATCAGCGTCCTGTGCAGGCGAGCCTGGTGCGTTAGGCTGAAGTTGGTTCATCTCTTCTTCTAGATGCTGCTAAATGAAAAAGAAAATCCCAGTTCACCAAAAGAAATCCGACTAAATGTTTTGTGTTTCACAGAGAGATTTAGTCTCATACATGAGGTGAAGCTGGCTGAGACGCGGAGGAGCTGCTGGAGGAACTAGCTGAGCCTGAGATGGGGTAGGAGAACACCAAAGAAGGAGAACCTGTGGAGAAAAAGCAATCAGAAAGACTGCCAGGTGCCTGGGTCAGGAGCTGAATCGTCTCCTGAGCTGTACGCACATTTCTTTTCTGGTGAGTTTGTCTCCAGGAAAGGATGGTGGAAGAACTCTTCTGTAAATAGAAGGATTCACACAAAACACAAATACGTCACATTTAAATAACGTCATTATGAAAACCAGCAGATGGAAGTTTACCGAAGCTCATGCGCTCTCTGTGGTTTCTCTGTAGCAGCCCGAGAAGCAGGTGTCTTAAATGAGCAGAAGTTTCCTTTGGGATGCTGCGGGAGAACAATGACCTCCTTCATTAATGCAAATCTGAATTCTGGGGTTTTAATATTATTTGATTATTCAATAAAAAACAACATTATAAACACAGTGCTTCATCGTTTATAACCCATGTGTGACAGAGAAGCCTGAGAGTTTAGAAAACGCTGCTCAAGTGTGCAAACACATAAAAATAACTCTGATTTCATTCCTTTTAAAAATATGCTGATTTTAAATAATAATTGTAAATGTAATTTGGGTTTTTAGGCAGAAGCTCAGTCAGCCAGAGCGCGTTTACGTCGCTGCTGACCTACGTGGATCATGTGGAAAAAGATAGCTGCCCACCCAGGCCCCCAGCTGGCACCTTGGTTAAATATAGAGCTGGATGGAAACAAGCGGTGCCTCCTCCCACAGAAACACAGCCTATCTTATCGTACAGCTGCATCACACCGAGAGATAAGCATGACTGGGAGCCATAAATCAGCCAGAACAAAGGAGAGAAAAACAAACCATAAACCCCCTTAAAGGTTCTCATGCTCTGAACATCAGAGGCTTCGTTTTCTGTTTACGTTTCCTGATGGCGTTTCACCACACTTCAGCACACTGGGATAATAAATCTGTGGGAAGCGGAAACGTGTCTGTGTGAGTGAGGTGGATGGAGAATGATCGAGATCTGACGGGTCGCATCAGGTGTCTGCATCACTTTCCTCCACATCAGGACTATTTTTAGAGTTGGCGTGCGACTATTTACCGACTTCTAATTTTATCCACAGCAGCATGTGTCTGCAGCCTCACAGGTTCAGAACCTCTGCAGCAAAATCACAAATGTCAGTCAGTAACGAGCAAATGGAGGGCAGCCATGATGGACTTTCTGGTACTGCCTGTGTGTGTGTGTGTGTGTGTGTGTGTGTGTGTGCGAGAGAGAGAGAGACACACACACACACAGAGGCGTACTAACCTGGGTAACAGGGTCATGTTGCTTTCATAGAAGAAACGAAGCTCCTGTGGGGTGCTGGCCTAAAAACACAAACACAAACACACACACACACACACACACACACACACACACACACACACACACACACACACACACACACACACACACACACACACACACACACACACACACACACACACACATTTTGCATCGTTTTTAAACACGTCCAGACGTGAATAATATTTAGGCACTAGCCCTTTACAAAGAGGTTTTCTCATAGATACGTGGTGACGATCCCACAGGGACGGTGTGATGCTCTTCAGCAGCTCCATAAATACCAGCAGCAGAACAAACAACTTCATCATCCTTCAGACAAAAAGCAACTAAAACGGGGTTTTTTTTCTAATAATGAAGTGTTTCCAAACTAACAGAAGGATAAAAGTGCAACATAAGATTAAACTCTGTGTGTTTGAGTGAAATCAAAAGCAGCCACGTGAGCGGCTGCAGGTTGTGAAACACTGTTTACTCTGGTTCAGAGAAAGAGGCCGGTGGGCATTTCCTCATGCCCTGCTACGTAAACAAGGCTCATTCCTCACAAGCAGAAGGCTCCAGAAGAGCCTCGTTCTGTGAACAGGTGGCTCTGATGGGTGTGTGGTGGATCGTGTTGTTGTTCTGGGCTTCAGGAACGCACAGATTCAGTTTCCCTTTCCAAGAAACTAAACAAAGCTCATTTCTGTTTATCTAAAATGAAATGTCTCTATTCGTGTAGCTAAACGTCTGAGTAAGGTTTTGTTGTATGTGTGTCTCGCTCACATGAAAAGGGGCTTTCCCAGTCAGACACTGGTACACAATGGTACCGATGCTCCACAGATCAGCCTTGCTGTCGTAGCTCTGGGACATGATGACCTCCGGAGCCTGTGATCAAACAAACAAAGCTTCTAGCCGACACACACAGTGACATTATAAGCTGCAGGCTCAGCAGACCTACCATGTACATTGGAGAGCCACACAGCGTGGCAGCCATGGTGTTCATCTGGAGGTGGCGTGCGAACCCAAAGTCAGCTGCAGATTTAGTGACATGGATCAGTTCCATCCAACAGAAGCATTTTTTATTCCCAGGGTATATTTTCAGAAAGACAAATTGAAACTAGGGATGTCCCGTTCCGATATCGAACCAAAAACACTATCGGATTCTATCGGACTGCATCAAAAATCTCCGATATTAGCAGCACGTTCCACTTTAAATTCCATTCCAGCAATTCTATCCATCAGCGCCCAGATCCAGCATGCAAAGTCCACGTGATCAGAACAGTGGGTGCTAGCAAATCAGCAAGGAACAATGTCGCCCATGTGGCTGTATTTTTCATTAAAGTCAGAAAAAGACAGTTTGGCTCAGTGCAGCACTTGTCATGCACAAGTTCCCCGTGGTGGAACAGAACCGGGGAAGGGTAATACGTCCAACCTCATCGTGCATTTGAAGCAGGATCACAAGACATTGCACGAGGAGTTTCACAGTGTGAAATTCACACTTTAGACGCTCAACTTGTAGCAGTTGGTCAGTGAACAATATTGTGTTTTTTCCCTAATGTCCCTAACCTCAGCTGTTCACATTTATGCAACCAAAGGTTAATAAATAATTGGTCAGTTTTTTTATACTTACTGTTGATGGCTTTTGTTTTCTGTTTGAGTAATACCACTTGATCAAGCCTTTTATACATTCCACATTGAGAAATAGGTAAAAGTGTGTATGATTTGTGCTGATACCATATCAGATTGATATCGGTCAGTACTACAATATCGCTAGTGTATGGGAAGTGGAAAAAGTTGCATCGGGACATCCGTAACTGAAACAATTACCGATCTTGATGCTGGTGTTGGTGGAGCTGGACCTGCGCCCCTCTGAGTGGCACAGCAGAATGTTCTGGGGTTTGAGGTCTCGATGGAGGATGCCTTTGCTCTGCAGGACCTTCATGGCCTGAGCAATCTGCTGCAGGAACACACGGATGGTGTCCTCACTCAGGGTGCCCTTGGCTGTCAGAGAAACAAATGGGGGGCAAAATAACCATAACCAATAGATGACTCACAAAAACAGATTTAATTAGTCTGAATCGGAGTTAACCTGACATTTCAGGAGCCCCCGTATTTTTCCATCAGAGCACATGGATAGGTGAGTGACAGATGGGTGAGGCTATGTCCCTCACCCTCGCCAAAGTGAACGAGTCTGGTGCTGCAAACAGCTAAATGTGGTGCCTTAAGGCTTCAAGGGTCACTTTATATAAATTAGACCCCAAATATACAAACCGGCCGGCAAACAAAGCCAGACAACATCAACTTGAGAACCATCTTATTGTAAAAAGGTGGTCTGATATTTGAGCAACGAGATATTTTCTACTGAGAAAAGCTTCTGAGAATATAATGAAATGCTGCCTGAGAAAACAGATGCTGATATACCAACGTTAACACTATTTAAGCAGGGAAATCCCAGAAAATAAACCAATCAAAGAGCTGGTTGGGAGATTTTATTTTATCTGGGTTAAGTCCTTTGGAGAATTAAAGAGTATTTACCCATAAAACTTGTCCAACCCTAAAACCTAATTTATGTAGACCCAAGCCTAAATCTTATTACTGCTTCCCAAAACAAGCGTGCACACACACACACACACACACACAAAAACAACAGTAAACTGCCAAAAAGGGGAATAAACACTGATACTGACCCCCTAATGTTCCAAACACTGAAACGTGTGTGTGTGTGTGTGTGTGTGTGTGTGTGTGTGTGTGCGTGCGTGCGTGCGTGTGTGTGTGTGTGGCATGGTTTGCAGCAAACCTACAGTGAAGATGATCTGCCAGATCACCCCCGTTGCAGTACTGAAAAGATAGAAGAGGCGGGTCTTAACCGAGATTTTCACATGGTAATGCAGTTTGCTCTTAGAGGTGATTTGCATTTCTACAACTCACCTCCATTATGAGATACACACACCCTCCCATCTCCTGTGGAAAACAATCACATAAAACACTATTAGCGGTGCTGATGGAGGGGTAAACACGTTTTTGTTAGGGAAATGAACTAAACAACCCGTCAGTGTCTCAGCAGCTGCACTGATGATTACACAACCACTAACAACACCTCAAGCCCAGGATTGAGTCAGCTTGTTGAAATCCTCAACCAGCTAGCGCTGAACTCGGGGGGGGTAGGCCTGAAACCAGATCCAGGCGGGGCCTGTGCTCGGCTCCCTGAATCATTCAGGACCCATTCCAAATCCAGCACTCCTCTTTATTGCCGTTAAAAATAACCAGGAGGCAGTGAGGTGACATGGAGTGACGTAAAAGGGTGAGAAGTTTAACGTGCCGGTCCCACCTGATGGAAAAAGACTTGCCTAATCGAGTTAAAGAGTTGTTTTGGAGCGGCGCATGAAGGCGTTTTTACCAGAGATGTGGCCTTGAGCCATGTGTCTGATGACTTTAGATGGGGTGAAATACACAAACTTTAACAGCATACAGACACGAAGCACTCACCAAGTCACCTCTTCAAGTGTTCACACCATTAAAGATAAAACATGGCTGTGAAGCTTCATCTTTTCCCAGCAGATCATGACATAAGTTAAATGATAAACTCTTAACAAAACTCTAATTTCATGATGAAGGAATCGGCCAATATACGGAGTGATTAGGCTGATTGATGAAAGGCTAATTTAAAACTCAGAAATCTACATTTTAAGTGGGTGGATCCTTTCTCCTTTCCTGGTCATATTTTTATGCAAGTGTCCTATTAACCATAGCACTTTGAGATAAATCGGAATGACTCAACGTCAGCATCAGCATGTCTGAGCTGTACACATTTCAGTTCAGTTCTGTTTGCTGCTTGTTCTGTCACATAAATACAGAAGCCTTCATAACTTCTGGATATTATTTTATTTTTGCTCTGTATTAAATTACAAATTTAGTGGGGGAAAAAATCCCATAGTTGCACCAAAATCCCAAAAGGTGACTGGAATCAGCCAGTTCTCTGTGTGATCGGCTTAATCTGGAACCCAAACAGGGAGGCGTTACCTTCCTGAATCTGGTTTCAACAAACACTTGACCTGAATCAGTAATGGCAGGCCAGAGCTGTAGAAGAACCACAGATCAGAATCGGGCCTCAAATCTGGTTTAATTTGGCTCTGGACTTCCATGACTTAACTTTAGACCCGACTGGAAAACGTGAGACTTGTAAAACAAGAACTTGGTCCTACCTCTGGTGTTTTCTTGAGCAAGTGCCAAAAACCACCGTATGACTATTGTGGTTCAATAACACAATAAAGACTATGAAAAGAGAAAAGTGGTGCAGCTTTGTCATTGGCCCCATGTGCTGATACCCGAGACTGAGCCTTATAAGCCATTGTTTAACCTGGGGCACCCTCCCATCTGTCAGGCCTGATGAGGATCTGCTCAGGCGGGTCTCTCTGGCAGGTGTCAGCAGACAGCAGGTCACTGGAAGAGCAGACCAGCAGTGCAAACACAACCGAGCAGATGGCTGATGTCATTGGATATGGTTAAGATAAAGGGTCAGGAAGCATGAGGCAGCCACTACAGTCATCATCTGGCAGAAAACTCTACAGTATAACACACATCTGGACTTACCTGGTAGTCCAGTAGTCTCACAATATTCTCATGTTTGAGCTCCTGCAGGAAGGTGCGAAACACATTCTGTTAGAGGTGATTACTGACAGGAAGGTTTGGAAATAAAAATTAAAATTACCTTTAATATCTTAATCTCTTTTCCAAGCAAAGACTGGGATTTGGCTAGGTTTTTCTTGTTGATACACTTGATAGCGACTTCCCAGTCTCGTCTCTTGAATAAATAGAAGAGAGGGATGTAAACAAACAAACACGTAACAAAAAAGCTGCTCGAGCGTCAAAGTTACCTCTTTGTGTCTGCCTTTGAACACAACAGCAAAGGCTCCGTGACCTATTAGGTCTTTCCTGTTGAACTCAAACTTGCCAACAGACTCCATGGTGAGTTAAAAAATAAATATAAACGTTAGAGTAAAGTGGGAGAAAAGTGGCGAGAGGCTAACACGCACTCCACGACACCGAGAAGTCCCATTTCACAGGAGTGCACCGGGCATGGCCCCGTGTAAACAAACACCACGATAACAGCACGGTGCGTAGAAAACTCAGCGGCTAAACAACAGGAACGGTCCGCTGTCAGTCCCAGCCCCGCTACACAAGCGTCCTACAGCGCTGCTGCGGCGGGTTGCTTTTTAAACACTGAGCTCAGACATTGTTGTTGTCACCTTCCTATCTGCTGGAGTCTCGTCTCCAGGTGCGCATGCGCAGAACCAAAGCCAGATTTTTGGTGGTGGTGCCTTCAAGCTCAGCTCGTAAATTCAATTTAAGACTGTGACTTATTTTAAAATAATTTCTTTAGTAAGAAAACTTTACTAGATGAATGGATATTTTAAGACCAAGCAACAGGATTTTATTAGGACTAAATCAGCTGATTTAGTTACAATTTCCTTGGATGGTTAATAAAACTTTATGGTGTTGCCAGATTCCCAGCTGGTTGAAACGTGTAGAAAAAATGTTCAATACTTCTTCTAGCTCAAAAAATGGTTTCAACCAAAGGTTTCTAATATCTTAAGCCACAAAAAAGCAAGCTTAGAAAAGGTGGATGTTATCTTATTTTGCTGATATTCATATTATTAATAGAGCTCCGCAACCTCACCACACCTACTCGGCAGCCATCTACAAAACAATCCTAGTTGTCATAACAGATGTGTCCGAATCCACGGGTAGGATGCTTACGAGTACGGGTTATTATCATCTAGGTAATTAATATAAACCAAATGCATTATAAAGGTTGAATGCAGTAGGATGTTTTCTAATGTAAATTGGACCTTAGAACTTATTTTGCATCAAATGGGGGTAAAACGTTTAAAAAACAGGCTTTTTAATAAAATAGCATTGAAGTATTTTCAATGTGCATTTGTTTATTCTAATTAAGCCTTATAATGATTAGATTTATCTTAAAAATTTAAATTCTCTGTAGTTTTCCCTGCTGCTTTTCTTTAAACTGAACAGAACCAGTGTACTGCAGGTTATGTTTTGTTTTACATTTTTCAATTAAAAAAAACTCTTTTTTAATCTATTACAGGTCAGCATGCACTGTGCTGCACATCTGCATCTGTGCTGAAGTTGTGGGTCTGGAGGATGAGCCTGAGGAAGATGTGTGTGGAGGTCAGTGGTGCTGTCATGGAGGAGGTGCCAGCAGACCACCACTATTGTTAACAGGCAAGTCATTCACAGAGATGTAACAGTCGTCGTCTGAGCCAGCCCAGCAGTCCCTGTAGATGGACGATGGAGTGGACAGTGAGAGGAAGCGTCCCAAAGCTCTCTCTGCAGACCGACCTGTATGATGTTCCTCTGGCCAGAAACGTCCAGCCACGGGTCTGCTCCAGCCCTCCATCCACGTCTGGATCCTCCTGCAGCAGATCCAGCTGCACTGTTAAAGACTTCCTGCTCACTCAGTTTAAATAAATGATCCAGGAAGTGTCACTCAGGTTAATCCTGCTTTAACCGTACATAACTGGTCCATACTGATTTGATCTGTAAATAAGTGTAACGTATTATAAATAATCTTGTCTCCTCCTTACCATCTTTTCATTTTCTGTTCATGTAACATGTTCAAAAAAATCTGTAATAATAAAACTGGTGATAAAAATCAATGACCAGAGTTATCAGTTAGTATTTGTTTTAATAAATGTGTTCAAATATCAAACAGCTAAATAACATTAACATGATAACTGTACAGGGAGTGCAGAATTATTAGGCAAGTTGTATTTTTGAGGAAATTTTTTTATTATTGAACAACAAGCATGTTCTCAATGAATCCAAAAAACTCATTAATATCAAAGCTGAATGTTTTTGGGAGTAGTTTTTAGTTTGTTTTTAGTTTAAGCTATTTTAGGGGGATATATGTGTGTGCAGGTGACTATTACTGTGCATAATTATTAGGCAACTTAGCGAAAAACAAATATATACCCATTTCAATTATTTATTTTTACCAGTGAAACCAATATAACATCTCCACATTCACAAATATACATTTCTGACATTCAAAAACAATACAAAAACAAATCAGCGACCAATATAGCCACCTTTCTTTGCAAGGACACAAAAGCCTGCCATCCATGGATTCTGTCAGTGTTTTGATCTGTTCACCATCAACATTGCGTGCAGCAGCAACCACAGCCTCCCAGACACTGTTCAGAGAGGTGTACCGTTTTCCCTCCTTGTAAATCTCACATTTGATGATGGACCACAGGTTCTCAATGGGGTTCAGATCAGGTGAACAAGGAGGCCATGTCATTAGTTTTTCTTCTTTTATACCCTTTCTTGCCAGCCACGCTGTGGAGTACTTGGATGCATGTGATGGAGCATTGTCCTGCATGAAAATCACGTTTTTCTTGAAAGATGCAGACTTCTTCTTGTACCACTGCTCGAAGAAGGTGTCTTCCAGAAACTGGCAGTAGGACTGGGAGTTGAGCTCGACTCTATCCTCAATCTATCTCTCTGTAAGCCCCACTCTAAGGGCCTTTGCAGTGTAATAGTGAGTCATATATTGTACAACCACAGTCATAAAGTTTTCAATCAGTAGTTTTATTTCAGTATGTATTTTTCCAGTATCACAAAAAATATAATTTTATATGGTTAAAACCATCTGGCTTATGTGCACTTTTTAAAACACTGCCCAGCAAACATTCGGACGTTTAATGACAGTTGAACAGTCACAACTGTAAAATAATATCACAGGAATTAGGAAAAAATAACACAAAATCTACTCTATTTGCCTTGCCCGGACTCAAACCTGGATCCTCCAGGGGGAGAGTCACCCACTCTCCCAGCTGAGCTATGACAGCAACTACTGAATATCAGATTTTTTTATATAGATAGGTAGAGAGTAAAGTGCGGGGTAAACTAACCAATCAGAGGACAGAGAGGATCTGCCACAGGCCACGCCTCCAGAGTGCCAAAACCCCTTACAGCCGAGCGAGCGGAGTCAGAAACCGAGCGCGCAGAGTGGCTGCCGAGCGCGCACGTTTTCCTCTGCCGTGTGCTCGTTGGCAACGCGCGCATGCAGGTTTGTCACTTGTGCACGTCCTTTTGCGCTCACAGACACAGTTTGCTCCCTCTCAGTGCACAAATGACCTCTCGCTATGTACAGGTGCTGGCCAGTAAATTAGAATATCATCAAAAGGTTGAAAATATTTCAGTAATTCCATTCAAAACGTGAAACTTGTACATTATATTCATGCAATGCACACAGACCAATGTATTTCCGATGTTTATTACGTTTAATTTTGATATTTATAGGTGACAACCAATGAAAACATCAAATCTGGTATCTCAGAAAATTAGAATATTCTAAAGGCCAATGAAAAAATGTTTGTTTCTCTAATGTTGGCCAACTGAAAAGAATGAACATGAAAAGAATGTGCATGTATAGCACTCAATACTTAGTCGGGGCTCCTTTTGCCTCAATAACTGCAGTAATGCGGCGTGGCATGGACTCGATCAGTCTGTGGCACTGCTCAGGTGTTATGAGAGCCCAGGTTGCTCTGATAGTCGTCTTCAGCTCCTCTGCATTGTTGGGTCTAGCGTATTGCATCCTCCGCTTCACAATACCCCATAGATTTTCTATGGGGTTAAGGTCAGGCGAGTTTGCTGGCCAATCAAGGACAGGGATACCATGGTCCTTGAACCAGGTGCTGGTGGTTTTGGCACTGTGTGCAGGTGCCAAGTCCTGTTGAAAGGTGAAGTCTGCATCCCCATAAAGTTGGTCAGCAGCAGGAAGCATGAAGTGCTCTAAAACTTCCTGGTAGACGGCTGCATTGACCCTGGACCTCAGGAAACAGAGTGGGCCAACACCGGCAGATGACATGGCACCCCACACCATCACTGACGGTGGAAACTTTACACTGGACCTCATGCAACGTGGATTCTGTGCTTCTCCGCTCTTCCTCCAGACTCTGGGTCCTTGATTTCCAAAGGAAATGCAGAACTTGCTTTCATCAGAAAACATAACTTTGGACCACTCAGCATCAGTCCAGTCCTTTTTGTCCTTGGCCCAGGCGAGACGCTTCTTGCGCTGTTTCTTGTTCAAGAGTGGCTTGACACACGGAATGCGACACCTGAATCCCATGTCTTTCATGAGTCTCCTCGTGGTGGTTCTTGAAGCGCTGACTCCAGCTGCAGTCCACTCTTTGTGGTTCTCCCCCACATTTTTGAATGGGTTTGTCGTCACAATTCTCTGCAGGGTGCGGTTATCCCTAGAGCTTGTACACTTTTTTCTACCACATTTTTTCCGTCCCTTCGCCTGTCTGTTAATGTGCTTGGACACAGAGCTCTGCGAACAGCCAGCTTCTTTAGCAATCACCTTTTGTGTCTTGCCCTCCTTGTGCAAGGTGTCAATGATTGTCTTTTGGACAGCTGTTAAGTCAGAAGTCTTCCCCATGATTGTGGTGCCTTCAAAACAAGACTGAGGGACCTTTTAAAGGCCTTTGCAGGTGTTTTGAGTAAATCAGCTGATTAGAGTGGCAGCAGGTGTCTTCTATATTCAGCCTTTTCAGAATATTCTAATTTTTTGAGATACCAAATTTGGAGTTTTCATTAGTTGTCACTTATGAATATCTAATTTAAACGTAATAAACATCGGAAATACATTGGTCTGTGTGCATTGCATGAATATAATGTACAAGTTTCACGTTTTGAATGGAATTACTGAAATATTTTCAACCTTTTGATGATATTCTAATTTACTGGCCAGCACCTGTATATTTTCACTCGCGAGTCCCGTTCACACGCGCGATGTGGACCCAATCCGCGTGCACGGGTTGTGGCACGCCTCTGACGCCATAATGAAGCAGCCTTCTTGACCCGAGCAGCTCTCTTTCTGTGATTTTACAGAAAAACAGGCAATCACAGTAAAAATGTCAGGGCTCATTCGACAGGACCAGGGCATTGCAGGAGAATGTATGAAGAAGAAATGTATTATTTCTATACATGTTTTGGCTGTCAAACGAAACTTCCATAATGCCCCTTTAAAACAAATGACAAGTTTAATTCGCCACACACACACACACACACACACACACACACCTACACACACACACACACACACACACACACACACACACACACACACACACACACACACACACACACACACACACACCTACACCTACACACACACACACACACACACACACACACACACACACACACACACACACACACACACACACACACACACACACACACACACACACAGGAATA